TTTGATGAAGGCTGCTTCATACTCGCTTAGAGTGAGTGACAGCAGTGTTGGGCCAAGGCAGGCCTCTCTCTGGCACAAGTTTGGGTGGAATGGAGAAGGGAGATTTCGAGTGCTTCCAAGAGGATGAGAGGAACTAACTCCAACATTCCCAGTTCAGTTTTCCCAGAGGTCCTGTTCACATGTACTCCTTGGCTCTGGGTAAGGAGAGGCCAGAGTGCGATGCTGATGGTGGGCCTGTCATGTGGATGGAGACCAACCTTAAGAACAGAACACAGCGTTCATAGCGTGTGTGCTTTTAACCATGATCAACCCTCACCCCCTCCCAGAGATTGGGTTTGTCCACTGAGGAAATGTATGCTGACCTCGAGGTGCTGGGGTGAGGGAGTATGTGCTTCGGTGCAGCCCCTTGGGGAGCCCCACAGACCCACTGCACTTGGCCCTAGAACACGCCTGTTCTTGTCTTCCTGACAGCTGCCTCTGCAAGCTGTTCCAATGCTTAGCGCCGTCTAAGTTGGCCCTCCTGACCTCCAGCCTTTCCTGCAGGCTGCCTGCCAGACCCTCTTCTTGCCTAGTCTGCCTGCATCTAAAAACTCCAGTTCCCACACTGAACCTACACTCTCACTGTCCACTCTGCACTTGAAGTTTCAGCCAAATCTCTGCCTCTTCCGTGAAAGCTTCCCCAAGGCTCATCCGCTCTGTGCAAACATTCTCGGGGTGGCAGCAATCACATGGTATTGCACTTTTGCTTACCCACCTCCCCTCCTGCCTGTGACCTAGGGGCCTGTATGTCTTCCTACGTCCAGTGGCCAAGCCAACACTTGGACCCAACAGGTGTTTCCTGAATGATGCAAATGAGCCATCAGGCAGGTGGGCCTGGTTTGGCTTCCCAGTCGTGGGGCTCTCTGCATACCGACAGGTTCTCCTTTGGCAAGTCCTCGTATTTTCCTGTGGCCATCAAAGAAACAATTGACATTTCTAGCAACTCTTTGAGTTATGAGTAATTATTCTGGGAGGTGACTTCACAGCTGGAGTTTAAAAAGGTTCTGGGAAGATAGTCACGATTGCAATTGCACTTGACCCCACAGGATGTCGCTGTTGTCACTGCCAAGAGAATAAGATGGCCTTGCTGTGGAGTCCATGCCTTCTGGCCCGCAGGCCAGGCAGGCTTCCCTTTGACCTCACTCCCTTCCCCAATACCTACCGACGCCTGTCTGGAATGTCTACATTCGGGGTTTGTTTGAACCTCCACACGTCAAGCCTCAGGGAAAGGCAAGGAATGGTCCATCCTGCTGTAGCCCAAATCCCTTTCGCTCTGTTAGGTCCTCAGTTTGTTCTGGTTGGTAGACATCAGAGAAGAGCTGGCCACCTTTGCTGAGTCTCCAACTCGTTACTTTAAATCAGATGGCATTCACACATTTCCTTTATAAAAACAGAAGAAACCTCTCACCCTTTCTCCCGAGACTTCCAGGTTCTTTTTTTTTTTTTTAAGATTTAATTTATTTATTCATGAAAGACAGAGAGAGACAGACAGACACGGGCAGAGGGAGTAGCAGGCTCCATTCCATGCAGGGCTTCCAGGTTCTTAATCCCCTACCAGTGTTCCTTCTGGCACCCTCATCCCGGCCCTCAGGCACAGTCCTTTCTCTGGAGACCATAGTTGTGGACACAGCCTGACAGCTGCTCAGAGGGAGAGGCTGAGAGGTCGGGAAGTCTGACCATTTGTGCCTTAGTTTCCCCAGTGCCGGGCCAGCTCCAGGCATTCCGAAGACTGGTGTCTCAGTGTGGGGGGATGATGGTGTGTAGGTGACTTTTCCCTTTTTTTCATAATGTGCTTCAGGGCTGTTTCGTTGTCTCTTCAATAGTAAAGGATGAAGTGCTAGGAGAATATTTAAAAGGCTGACAATCTAAGGACAGGGCTACATTTCCCCTTCATGAGAATTTAACCGGATTCTCCAGGTCTCACCAATCATTCTTCCTCCAGTTTCTCTGAGTCTCTGGCTGTTTTGTCTTGTTCAACTAACTGTGGCTTATTTTCTATTCCTTTTCTCCATCATCTAATTGAATGTTTTCCTCCGAGCAGTCCGCTTGATGGGAACCATCCACACAAAGTTCCCAGAACATTAGCGTCTGGAGCCCTACTCTGGGCCAGGCCCAGAGCGGCCCCTCCAAGACCCTGTCCCTGGAATCCCCCTCAGCCTCGTGGGAGGCCCCGGTCCTGGGCTGCCAGGACCCCAGCTGACTGGGTAAGGGCGCTCCCCCCTACCCCCCCTCCCCGCTCCAGGAGCCTCTCCAGCAGGAGCACTTGAGGGTGGTGGGCAAAGGCAGCCTCCCACGGGGCGGGGGTGAGGCCCCCCCCGGAACACGACTGCCCAGGCCCCCTTCCCCACCCACTGCGGAACTGAGCTCACCGATGCCCCAGAGCCTTAAGTCCCACCATTCTCTGAAGGATGGGATGGGTTTTTATTCTGCAGCTGATTCTGAGGAGACAGGAGGCCTCACCTCAAAGAATTATCTTAAACGTGTTTCCAGATTTGCTCAAAAGCTCAGTCCTTTTGGAAAGGCGAAAAGTGAAGTCAAAGCACGTGGTCCCAGGAGCAACTTGGGTGCTGGCCTCTGGCTGCCTCTGCTGCCGGCATGGAAGGTCTCTGGCGAGCTCCTCAGCCCGGCTGCCCCCTGCGCAGGGCCATGTGACCGGACCCAGTTAGGGTACCTATGTCATCAGTCACCCTGGTCTGAGGGGTATTTGTAGCTTTCGAGGAGGCGGCTGACGATGATGAGCTCACCCCCCCCAGGTGACCCATCCTCTGCTGGAGCTCACCCACCCGCCCTTGGGGGAAGGGCTGGGGCAGGGCAGGGGTGGGAGCTTCTCTGTGGGACAGGCCTGGGAGGGGTGCCCTGGGCAAGGCCTCTAGCCCCATACCCCGGTGATGTGGCTGCTTAGTCACTCGAAGGCTCAGTGTGTGTGTGAGCTTTGTCCACTGTCCCCTGGGCCTCTGTCCCCCGCAACCTGGCTGCAGCCCGGCTGCCAGGGCCACACTTGGGCAGAAGCGGTGGCCCCCACAGCTTGTCAACTGACACCCGTTAGCTGTCACTGTTTTTTTTTTTTTTTTAAGATTTTATTTATTTATTCATGAGAGACACACACACGAGAGAGAGGCAGAGACACAGGCAGAGGGAGAAGCAGGCTCCCTGTAGGGAGCCCGACCTGGGACTCGGTCCCGGGTCTGCAGGATCACACCCTTGGCTGAAGGCAGCGCTAAACCGCTGAGCCACTAGGGCTGCCCAACTGTCATTGTTCTTATAACAAATTTAGGAGGAAATCAAACTTTTGAATCTATGGTTTTATCAGAAGTGGGGAATGCCACTTTAAAAATCAGAGAGAGCAAATGTCTTTGTGGAGATGAAGACCTTTTCATCCCTGGTCATCCCTCATTCTGTCACCCTCCAGGCTCCAGAAGGAAATGGAGGCTGCACCCTCTGCTGCAGGGGCTGGGGAAGTTCGCTTCTGAAGCTCCAAGTAGGTGTGTGTGTGCTTTGGGGCTGCTTGAGCCAGGAAGAAGGAGGATGTGCATTTTTCTGCTAGGCCCTTAGTCCTGGACATGTGGACCCGCGGCCCCCCACTGCCCTCGAGGGGGTAGGTTCAGAGTCAGGTGGGAAAGGCTGAGCACTGGAGTGGGATACGTCCTTTAACAGAAATCCCATCCTGGGGCGAACCCTCTCCTGTCAGTTCTTTGCGGAAGAATCAGTGTGTGTGCTAACAGGGGATTTCAGGAAGCTGGGCTGTGTCCCTCATGCCTTCCTTCTCTTGCTCATGTGTATCCTGTGCACAAACATGTAAAAGTGGTAAAATAAGAAAGTTATTTGAAAAATCGAAGTAACAAATTATGTGGCTTTTATTTTTGTGGAACTTGAACAAACCACGATAAAGATATTTAGAAAAATACTTCAGAGGCAAACTTTTGAGGGGGATTTTTTATTATAAATTTAATATGGTTGATTAATGAAAAATCACAATGAAGTACCAAGAAAACATTTGTCAATATAAAAATTTTAGCAGCATTTCCATAGTTTCAGGCTCTAACATTAGTCATACTTCCTCCCGCTATCAAAAAAGAATCCAATGGGACTACAGTAGAGCATGAAGATGTTCAGCTTAGTAAAGGCCTCAAGGAAATCCTCAAATCCAGTGTATTGTCTAATATTTCAACTCTCCCTGCTCCTGAATTCCTAGACTGTCCCATCACTCGCCTTAGTGTTTGAGACAAGAATTCTGTTCTTCAGGCTGCCGGGGGAGAACAGGGGTGAGAATTTAAACTGGACTTGATATGTGGTGCCTGATGACATGTCACGCACGTACATCCTCTGCACGGACGGCCACACAGGGCTCGCCGGTGTCTGGCATGGTGCACGGGCCACAGAGTGGGACATGCTGTGACCAGGCGCTGGTGCTCAGGGACCCGGCAGTGTCGCTGTGGCACAGATTAGCGGCAGGGTTAATGAGAAGGGGAGACAGACGATATGAAAATATAATACTGGCAAACTATTCCCCTGCTTCTTTGGTACTTTCCAAAAATTCTCTGATCAAAAAAGTGTAAGGGAAGCACGCCATTAAAAAATTATAGCTTTAAGTATTTACAGAAGCAATTCTGATATATTACATAATCGATACACAGTTTATGAACAGATTCCTCAGTGAAAGCACTTGTGAACTCCTGCCACATATTATTCAAGAGCACACCTACGACGTACACCTTCCCAAATGGGCACCATCCATCCCAATTCCCACTTCTAGTATGTTCAATGGGAAAAGTATCACTTTCCAATCTATACTCTCCTTTTAAAAGGTTCTTACGATTTGCCACTGAAATCATTATGTACAAAGATTTGTTGAATATTGAATTCTAGGCAATACATCTCCACTCCCATTTTGAGTATGTTTGAAATAATGCTAGCTATGCTATGTATACATATATATTTAACATATAAGTAACTGCACCACGTTATGTCACCACAATACCAGTTTAATGCACATCATTATGTACAGTAGTTAAGTTAGCTCTGGAGGATGACTCTCTACAGTGCAGGTGAGCAGTGTGGCCTGGAACCATATGAAAGCGACATGGAGAGGCTGGCGGGCAGGCAGCCCATGCACGGGCAGGACGTGTGTCAATGCCACCCACTCATCCCCTCACCAGACTACCCCTTGTGCACTGGGTGGAAGACGACAGATCACACGTATGGAAGGATCCCGTACATGAGGAGAGCCATGATAGCAGCACTGAACAACCCAGCCACAGGCACAGTCACAAACCAGGCCACGAAGATGTTCCGGAAGAGGCGCCAGTCCACAGCCTTCCGGGAGCGGATCCAGCCCACGGCCACCACTGAGCCCACCTGTGGGAGCACAGACATTGCAGTGTAAGAACAGATGCCGCAAGTTTAAAAGTGAGACACACGATCTATATTCAACCAATGTAAACTGGCTGATCTCAGAAGGAACCTGAGTTTAATAAAGTCACCAATTCTTTCCCCTCAATTTGTTAAAAAGTTTTAAAATAATTTCGATTTTATGTATAATTACCTTAGGATTATTCTCCTCAACATATAGTTTCCATATGGCTTCCCACCTATATTCTGCTCTATTTAAGTGGAACATCAGCCAATTACACGATTCTCTTCTCTCCACGGCTTATAAACTAAATTTTTAAAAGCTTTTATTTATTTATTCATGAGAGACACAGGCAGAGGGAGAAGCAGGCTCCATGCAGGGAGCCCAATGTGGGACTCAACCCAGGGTCTCCAGGATCAGGCCCCGGGCTGAAGGCGGTGCTAAACCACTGAGCCACTCGGGCTGCCCTAAACTAAATGTTCTTGTTCTAAATATTCCACATTGAGGATACCGCTTACCACAATGTATAAAACTACTTTAATTACATGATGGAACGACAATAATGTACCCTTATAACATCATCCTAAATGTTGGAGCTGGAGAAGACCTTTGAGAATATCCAACCCACATCATTCATTCTTCAGAGGATAAAACAGATCCCGAGATGATTCAGGGGCATGAGCTGGTCCTATAAATCACAGCAGACCGAAAAGTAGAACTCAGGCCTCTTGATTTCTTTTTCTTTTTTAAATTTTTAAATTTTATTTACTTATTTGACAGCGAGAGAGCACAAGTGGGGGCAGGTGTGGCAGAGGGAAAGGGAGAAGCAGATTCTGCTGAGCAGGGAGCCCGATGTAGGGCTGGATCCCAGACCCAGGATCATGACCTGAGCTGAAAGCAGATGCTCAACTGACTGAGCCACCCAGACGCCCGTGGGCTCTGGATTTTTTTTTTTTTTAAGATTTTATTTATTTATTCATGAGAAACACAGAGAGAGAGAGGCAAAGACACAGGCAGAGGGAGAAGCAGACTCCATGCAGGGAGCCCGATGTGGGACTCGATCCCAGGACTCCAGGATCATGTCCTGGGCCAAAGGCAGACACTCAACCGCTAAGCCACCCAGGCATCCCTGGCCTTTTGATTTTAAACTTGTTTTGTCCTCTCTCTCAAACTGCCTGGCCATCTTTGTACTTTTGCTAGTGTCAAGTGTATTAAAAAAGTAAAAAGCAAAGTAGAATAAAATAAAATGGAGCACAAATATTGTTGGATCTGAACTCATGTGTCACTAAATGACAGGTATAGATACTTGAAAATCACAATGTTAATACTGATTCAAATCTTTTCCTAAACATTCACCATTAATTTTACAGTTTGTTGAAAGTTTAAAAAGTAAAAGACTCAACTTTAAGTATCCTAAAAATGAAAATTGTAAGAAAGTATAATGCCTGTAACATCTCATGCCTCACTTAGGCTCTGGTGGGGCTCAGAGTTCAACAGAATGCCTATCTGTGGGCTGCATTTTTAATATCTCCATAGAACAGGCTTTGTTTCTATGGATCTTCAAATACTCCTCAGTGGCCAATGAGGTTCAAAGAGCAACCAGGTCTAACCACCAGAAAAAACAAAATCCAACACTTTAGATTTTTGATGGATGCAAACTACAACACCAAAACCAGCAGTATATTGAAAGGCAGTTAATCTGACATGTGCCGACCCAAGCCATGATAAGCCAACAACACATCCAGGACAGTAACTAACATGCAGGAGGGGCCTTCAAAGTGATTACTGTATTAAGAGTCTTTGGCGCTAACCAGTACCCTGTCTGAACCTGATAATCCGGCTTAGCAGTTCCTACAGCATGAGAGACAACCGAGGTTTTTCTGCTGCCTAAGGGATCAGCTGGTTCCTGCTGGTCCCCTAACACGGTCAAGTCCACAGGCACCAGCTGCTGTTATGCAGCATTGTCTCCCGGGAGCAGGTTTTAGTGCCCCTCTGGTTGTTCTGGACTCCCTTAGGGAGGACACGCTCAAGTTTCCATGTTATCTCTTCCCTCTTCCTTTCTTACAATGCTTTTTAAAAAAGCATAAAGTTAGAATAATAATATAGCAAGTTTATGTACTAGGAGGAATGGACAATTATCCAGATCCCCACTTGTCCTATTTATATATTCCTTTCTTGTATTTCTTTATCAATATACTTTTATTTGTAAATAATAGAGCACATTATTTCTTTTATTAAAAAAATTAACATTAGGGCAGCCTGGGTGGCTCAGTGGTTTAGTACCGCCTTCAGCCCAGGGCGTGATCCTGGAGACCCAGGAACGAGTCCCACATCGGGCTCCCTGCATGGAGCCTGCTTCTCCCTCTGCCTGTGTCTCTGCCTCTCTCTCTCTCTCTATCTCTCATGAATGAATAAATAAAATTTTTAAAAAATTAACATTATATTACAGGCACCTTCCCATAGTGTTCACAGTCTTTATGATTATCACAAAAAGCAGCATGCCCTTTAGATGGATATACCTTAATTCAACCACTTCTCATTTGCTTCCAATTTTTCTCTATTGAAAATGGTTCCATGATCAATGTATTCATTCATATAGCTTATATTTGGGCTTAAAAAATAATATTCCCTGAAATGGATTATTAAAGGGGGCATTTAGTTTTTATTATTTTTATTTAGTTTTAATATTTTAAATTATTTTATTATTTTTATTTTATTATTTTAATAATTAAAATTATTATTTTAATTCCAACATAGCATACACGGTTATATTAATTTTAGGTGTACAATAGAGTGATTCAACAACTTAAAGGGTGCATTTGGAAATTATCTCTGAAATAATTTGAAACTTGGAGGCAAGTTGTAACAACTCCATATACCCTTTACCCAAATTCAGTTTTTAACCTTCTGTCACAATCTATGAAGAAACATTTTCATACTATTAAAATACCCTGTTCCTCCTCAACCTCCCTCCCCACCTCTGCCAAAGACTCAGCAATTCCTGTCTTTACTACGATGGTTGCAAAATGGTAATTTGCCAATTCCCTGCCATGTATCAGATGGAGTGCCGCTTAGAGGAACAACAGGATCTTATTACATATTGCCAAACAGTTTTACCAACAGTTGTAAATGTACAAGGTCATTCATAATTTGTGAATTTCAGCACACTGTAATAATCCTGCAAATTGTTCTGTTTTGCTAACCAATCAACAAAAACATGTTACTGTTACTTTAATTTGCATCTCTAATTACTCCTAGGCTGAACTTTTATTTTTCCAATTGTACACCAATTGTACACTTTACTGTATATAAAATTATCTCTCCATGTATTTTGACCAACTGGAATCTAAATGTGTCCCCTTAATTATGTGGGGTCTTTATTGAATGATAATATTAATTCTTATTTAATGCAAATATTTTCTCAATTCACTATTTTGCTTTGTTTCAAGTTTCTAATTCCATACGACAAAGTATGCTGCACTTTTGTCTTGTGATCTATCCTTGAATATTTGATAAATATTTAATTCCATTTTACTGTAAATTTTCTAAAATAAGATTGTTTTATTCTAAATTTTAAAATGTTTTCAAAATGCTATCTACGGCATCAGATACATATTTTGAGAGTTGTGTTTCCAACTTTGTTTTTCTAGATTGACAGCCAGCTACCCAACATCATTTACCCAACATCATCAAACTATATGCTTCTATATAATAGGTTCTATCTCTGGACTATCTACTGTTTTTATAGAAATATCAAATATTTTCATTGTGATAAAATACATATAAAATAACATTTATCATTTTAGCCATCTTTAAGTGTACAACTGAGTGGCATATTTTCACATTGTTTTGCAACCATCAGCACCGTCCATCTTCAGAACTTTGTCATCTTCCCCAACTCAAACTGTTCTCATCCACACTGTTATCCTGCCTCCATGTACTTTCAACTTTCTCTCTGGTTAGGTTAGTCCTTCCTCACTATGTTTTTAGGTCACCTTATGTTCTTGCTAATTTAACCTACCAAATTCACTTTGGTCTCCTTTTGTAAAATTAGAAGAAAAACTTGGTTGGGGTTGTGTTTGTGGGGAACATATATTTTTATTTTTTATTTAAAAAAATTTTTAAGTAATCTGTACAGCCAACATGGGGCTTGAATTCATGATCCTGAAATCAAGAGCCACATGCTCTTCGGACTGAGCTAGCAGGTGCCCTGCAGGGAACTCCTATCTTTATAAAATTTAGTTTTCCCATCCAATAAACTTAGTTTTCCCATTTAGCTTGTTTGTCTCATCTGCAAGTCTTCTTTCCAAAGTTTTGTGTCTTTTTTTCATATATCCACTCACATTTATTAGGATTATTCAAAAATATCTTTTTGCTGCAATTCTGGAGGTGTCTTGTTCTTATTACATTTTTGTGCTAGCTATTGCTGACAGACAAGCTCTATAGTTCTGTATTTTTATGGTGGGTTTGGTCATCTTTACAGATTTCTAGCAGTGTTTTAGAGATACATGCTGAATTTCATCAAATGTGTTTCCAGCTTAAGGCCATCACTGGCACCAGGAGCAATAGAATTATTGAGGAGCAGGGAAACCAAAGAGTAAGAATTAGTAAAATTAAATTAGAAATTATAATATTAAGTTAAAATCAGTAGTGTTTCCTAAAAGCAATTCCTGTCCAAAGGCTGGCTAAGTAATCATTTATGTCATCAATATAAATGAACAATGTGGGTAATTCACAGAAAAGAATAATCCCAAACCACCCCTCCCATGGAATTAAGACATTTTTGGATAACACCACCACTCTGAATCACTGTTAAAAAGCTCACAAATGCGGGGGATTCCTGGGTGGCTCAGCAGTTTGGTGCCTGCCTTTGGCCCAGGGTGTGATCCTGGAGTCCCAGGATCGGGTCCCACATTGGGCTCTCTGCATGGAGCCTGCTTCTCCCTCTGCCTGTGTCTCTGCCTCTCTCTCTCTCTCTCTCTCTCTGTGTGTGTCTCCCATGAATAAATAAATAAAATCTTTAAAAAAAAAAAAAGCTCACAAATGGAGCACTTGGGTGGCTCAGTCGGTTAAGTGCTTGCCTTCAACTCAGGTCCTGGGATTGAGCCCCATGTCCCGTTCCCTGTTCAGTGGGCAGTCTGCTTCTTCCTCTGCCCCTTCACCCACTTGTACATCTCCCCTCTCCCGCCCCGCTGGCCAAATAAATAAATAAATAAAATCTTGAAAGAAAAAAAAAAAGCTCACAAATGTGTTCAACAGTGGCTACTGTCTGCTGTAGCCAGGGCTGAAGACCAAAGCTGATCAAGGCTCACCAAAGGGAAGAGCAATGAACACGTACAGAAACATACATCTATGGATACTTTTATTTTCAAGAGTTGTTTCTATTTTTTTTTAACTAAGGCTTTTAACTTTAACCTGGGACACTGTCCCAGGAAAATATCTAGTGAACTGAACTCTCTGATGTAAAATACAGAAAGGTATGACACCGAGAGATTTATAGAGAACAAAACTTGTCTTACCTGTGCCTTATGAAATAAATATATTATACTATTACATTTTTCTGGATAATAAGACTTTTCTAATTATCCTTTTCCAAATGAAACATTCGACTAACATCTGTATCACTTAGCGGAGGTTTATAAATGTTCTAAAAGGGGGAAAATAAAATTTAAACTATGCTCTTAGCTAAGTAGTACACTTAGGAAAAAACATGAATGAAAATGCAGTCAGATACATTCAAAAGCTTATTTTCAGCAATGGTTTCCATCTTTTTTCCTACCAAGTTCTTAATGTTTGCCCCCCTTCTGCAGAAGGTGGCTCTAGGCAAAAAACCTAAGACGCAGCTAGGAGAGGAAGCAGGAAGCTGGAAAAATCCAACACGTGGTGTGATTATTCCTGAAAACACAACGGCTTTCAGTCGAGACTTTACGTGGAGGTCAGCGCCCTCTGGATGTTTCCAGAATCACGGTGTCGCACACACAAGCCTTGTTCCTAGCGCCACGTTGTATCGCTCATATTCCCCCCTGCACCTGCTGCGTGGGGCTCAGGGAGGGCTGAGCTGGTGCTGCAGGAGGTCGGGTGCTCTGTGGGAGGCCCGCTGATGGGGGTGGGGGTGATCCCAGGGGTGGGGAGCCAAGTGATCCCGGGAGGCCAGAGTGATCCTGGAAGGCCGGGTGATCCTGGAAGGCTGGGTGTTCTGTGGGGGGGCCGGGTGCTCCCAGGAGGCCAGGTACTCCCCTTGAGGGCAGCCCCAAGCCCTTCTCAGCGTCTCACCACCTGGGCTTCAGGCTCCCATCTGTGGTGAGGTCTGGAGAGCTAAGACCCTGACTTTAGTCAAGCTACTGTGGCGCCTAGCTCTGCGCTTTGTCCGCCAGTCCATGACAGGTGACAGTGGTGAGACTGGTCAGGATCCAAGTTGAGGTCTGGCTCCTGTCTCCTTGACAGCTGACATCAACTGTGGTCTCGTGTCAAGGAGACTTCATTTTAAGTGCCAACCAGCTATCCTAACTCAACTTACCATCAATTCTTAGGAAACAAAACCTATCATGTGATTTATGTAGATATTTTAGGATAATGATGACATATGCATTTATTCATTAAGGTCCTGGACAAACTGAATATAAATCCCTTAGGAGCATCTCCTCATTATAGTATAAATATAAATATTGGGGGAATGACAAAGATTAAAACAGAGAGTATGGGTTTTTATGGGCTCATTATACTTTTCATCTATTTCTATAAATTTATTATAAAGTTTAGTGTTTTTTTTTAAGTTTAGTGTTTTAGCAAGAGAAGTATTGTCAGTTATAACACTTTATACATTCATATAGGTTAGACTGCTGATAGGTAATGGTCCAGGGAAACCAAACTTGGTTTTTCAAGAGATCTTTCAACTGGTGTGAAAGAGGTGGCCCTCACTAGACTTGCTGACATGCAGGGTTAATGATTAAAAAGACAGGAACATTGATTTAAAAGCAGCCCCAAAGACTCTTCACACCTGCAGAAAAGTTCAAAGCCTATTTCTTTGGGAGAAAAATATATTTTTAAGAGGCATTTCCTCTATGCTCCCATGCACCAGTGGATTGAAGTTGATGTCGAATAAGGCAGAGGATGATCACTTTTCATTCCACAGAGTTTTGTACTGTTTGAGATATTTCATCGAACATGTGCTTCTTACAACTAACTTTTCAATAACTGAAATCAGAACAGCCACAGTGGCGGGAGGGGAGGAGCACACCACACTTTTCCTGCCTTCCTTCTTTGTACTTGACAGGTGCGCAGGGCAGGCTGCTGGAGAGCACGGTGGGGGCCACCCTGCCAGGTCAGGACCACAGTCTGGGCCCCTCCCTGCTTGTTCGATCTTGGGGACGTCACTTAACTTGTCTTCAGTTTCCTCATTGGTGAAGCTGAGGTCATGTTAGCACTCACCTCAAAAGGTTCTTGGGAGGATTAAACGAGTTAATATTCACAGGGCACTTAAAACAGCACCCGCCCCACATGTCCTAGCTGTGCTTGGTCACCGTTAACCAAGATCACTGTGACAACTAGGAGGCACGGAGCATGAGGTCAAGGTCTGAATCCTGGCTCGAGCATACACTAAATGCATGATCTTGGGAGAGTGACCTAACTCGGGAGGCCTCAGTTTTCTCATCTGTAAATTGGTAATGACTACCAATCTCATAGGGTTGCTGTGGGATTAAATGATGTATTTATTGCACATGTAGGAAGCCCTAAACACAGTGCTTGGCATATCCCAAGCACTCAGTAAGTGCTGGTGATTTTCATAATGAAAATTTGTGGAAATTGAGGATTTTCTATACACTGTTAGCAAAAAAGGAAAAAACAAGGAAACAAAAAGCCTCTTTTCAATGAGGCTGATTCTCCATGCAACAGGCTCCAGATTTGTCAGCTGGCCCACTTAAAATATCCCCATAAACACCACCTGACATTTTAATATTTGAAGCACCAAGCCTTTCACATTTCATGGTATTTGTTTATAATAAACATGGTTTATTATAATAATATAATAGAATTGGTTGACATTTTTAAACTGTGTGCGAATGCAGATGGCTGTCTCTGTCTAGGTCACTGCAGTACCTACCATAGTGCCTCACACAGAGCAGGTACGAATGACATGAACAAATGAACCTAGGAAAAATCTGGAAGTGCCTTTTGCTTTGTTGAAGTTAGTGAATATTTTTGTATGTAGGAGGCCCACTGGGTATGTATGACCATTCTCTCCAGATACTGGGCAGACCTGAGTTCTAGTCCTGGCTCCTTCCTGGGTGACCCCAGATAAATCCCAGAAATGGTACCAAGACCATTTCCTCTTCCTTAATATTTTGAGTTCCTTGCAGCTCCAACACTCCCCATGCTAAGGAATTCCATCCTGCATTTGCACAACCAACCCTACACCAGGCACCTCCAGCTCTTCTCAGATCTGCTGGGCGACTGTGTACCAGCCCCAGCAGCCCGACGGACACACCTACCTTGCAGTGCGTGGTGCTGACGGGAAGCCCGACGTTGGAGGCGATCACGACTGTGAAGGCAGAGGCCAGCTCGATGGTGAAGCCGCTGCGGGAGGGGCACAAGAGACATGTCACAGTCACAGGCACTCTCTGTATCAGCCCCACTGACACCCCAGGGCCAGAGTCTCACCAGAACATTCTTTGGGATGACTGCTGGCTGCTGACTGGGCCAGATGACATTAACAGAAAAGGAACTGCTGCATCAGGGCAACAATTCACACTAAAACTGTGCAGTATACTGTTTACAGCCCTAAAAAGCTGCCTTTTTCTGATAGGTTTTCAAAAAACACACACTGTAGTAACTGGGTCAGAAATCCCTGCTGTGTACAAAATGCTAAATTAGTCATTTCTAAAGCGGTAGAGAAAAAAAAATGTCCTCCCATTTTTTCAATGTGTACTTATTGCAAAAAAGGGAATTTTGTTCTCAGCTCATTTTTCTTCAAATCAATCTTAAAAAGAGTCTTTCATTACAGTGGGTTTCAAAGGGGAAAAGACTTCTTAGGACAGGTAGTTCCAAGTTTCACTGTATTCTCCAAGTTGTCCTGTGTGTGTGTCCTTAAACCCTAGCGTATGAGGGTCACACAACGGAGCGATTGTGTGTGGGGGTGCCCTCCGGGGCTCTGAGCTGCTTCGATCCTGCACGTGAAGCTGGCGTGGCAGGGAACTTTCAGGAAATGCAGACCCTGGGCACAAGGCAGTGTGCATCCCCATGGCCTCCCCCTCCCAAGGGGTGACACCGGAGGGGAGCCTGGCCTGGGCCAGGCCTGGGGCTTCTCTTCCCCTTCCCTCCTGCTCTCCAAAGGCTCTCCCTCCTGCTCTCCCCACCTCGCACTCTCTCCCTGACCTGCCCCCGTGGACGGAGGGGTGTGCGGTGCATTGGGGGCGACCATGGGGCTGAGCCCTTGCCTCACTGGGACCTCGGCCTGGGGCCTCAGACGACGGTGGCCCTGCCATCCTGCCAGCCCTCAGCTTACCTGGAGGGCGTGATGGGCGTGAGGTCCTTGCCCATGGTCTGGATCACTCTTCTGCCCCAGACCCACAGGCCTGTACAGATGCCAACTCCTCCATAAAACAGCAGCCAGACAGGGGTAACTGCCTCTTGCAGGACTGCGCCTTGCTCGTAAATCAGCCACAAAGCCACCAGGGGACCAATGGCATTACTGGGAGGGAAAAAGAGACGAGTGACATACATGTGGCGGCGCACAAGGCTCTGTGCATGACACATGGTGGCTGCCGGGCTGGAGGAAAGTCCATTTGACTGTGTCTGTGCACCGCCCAGGCAACCTAGTGCTGACTGAAATGGTTTATTAACTTTTTTATTATGGTGAAAAAAAAACCCTGGACTTACTACTTTAACCATTTTTAAGTGCAGTGGAGTCATGGTAAGCAGTGCACACCATTGTGCAGTGGATCTCTAGGACCCCCTCACCTTGCAAATCTAGAATCTGGCACCCACAGAACAGCTGGTCCCTTGGCCCCTTCCCCTAGCGGCTCACCACCACCTTTCTGTTTCTAGGGGCCAGACTACTCTCGGTACCCCAGAGAAGTAGAAGGGTTCAGTACGTGCCTTTTGGTGACAGGCTTATTTCACTCTGATGATGTCCTCAGAGCTCATCCATGTGGTAGCACAAGTCCCCTTTCAAGGCCAAACACTCACTGGATGTACAGCGGCATCTTGTGCAGTGTTCACCTGCCACGCACACCTGGCTCACTCCTGCCCCTTGGCTACTGTGAATGATGCCGCATGGACCCGGGGGTGCCGATACCTCCTCAAGACCCTGCCTGTAGTTCTTCTGGGGACATACTCAGAAGTAAGCTTGCTGGATCTTTCAGTGGTCCTACTTTTCATATTTTGAGGAAGCTCCAGACTGTTTACCACAGCAGCTGCACCGATTTACACACCCACCAACAGTGCACGAGACCTCCAGTGTCTCCATATCCTTGCCAACACTTGTCTTTCTGTTTTTTTTTTTTTTTTTTTTTTTTTTTTACAGTAGCCCCCTTCCTGGGTGTGTGACTTACTCATTTTTTAAAGTACTGAAATATCACAAGTGGATACAAAAACTCCGTTCTTTTTTCTCTTCCATTTTTCCTCTATTTCCATTGTCATTACCAGCATTGCTACTAATACTGGCTACCAGTTGGGCAGCTGTGTCAGCACCCATGCGATGGACTGTAAACACCGTCTCTAATCGTGACTTCTCACACACCCACCCTGCAACTAGGTATTATTGCTTCCATTTTACTGGAGCAAATGGATGCCAAAGTCTTGTCAGCAGCGAGGCAGGACTCAGGTGCTCATGTTCTTTCCCCTCAACCCACTGTCACTCAGGCCCTTAGCAGGCACACGTGGACTGATTTGGGGGATGCCACAGTTTTGTTTTGTTTTAAGTAGGCTCCATGCCCAGTGTGGAGCCCAACTAGGGGCTTCAGCTCATGTCCCTGAGATCAACACCTGAGCTGAGACCAAGAGTTGGATGCTTAGCTGACCAAGCCACTCGGGTGCTGCATTCTTTGGTGAGGTGTCTGGTAAGGTGTTTGGCTCATTTTTTAATTGGGTTGTTTGTTTTCTTATTGTTGTGGGTTTTTTTTTTTAAGATTTTATTTATTTGACAGAGAACACAAGCAAGGGGAGCTGCAGAGGGAGAGGGAGAAGCAGACTCCCCCTGAGCAGGGAGCCGGACATGGGGCTCAATCCCAGGACCTGAGCTGCAGGCAACACTGAACAGACTGAGCCACCCAGGCGCCCTTATTGTGGAGTTTTAAGAGTTCTTTGTATATTACTATTCTAGCAGATATGTCTTTTGTAAATGTTTTCTTTCAGGTTCCGCCTTGTCTTCTTATTCTCTTGACGCCGTCTTCCACAACACCCAAGTTTCCAATTTTAATAAAGCCCAGTTTATCTAGTATTTCTTTTATTGACTGTGCCACTGGTATTTTATCTAAAGAGTCATCACCATACCCACAGTCATCTATGTCTTCTCCTGTGTTATCTTACTAGGAGTTTTATAATTTTTCACTTTACGTTTAGGCTTGTGATCCATTTTGAGTTACTTTTTCTCAAGGCTGTAAGGTTTATGTCCAGATAGGGTTTTTTTTTGCACATGGATGTCTAGTTGTTCCAGCACCGTTTGTTGAAAAGACTCTCTTTGCTCCACTCTATCTCCTTTGCTCTTCCTTTATTAAAAATCAACTGACCATATATATATATATATATTTTTTTTTTTTTTTTAAACTTATGATAGTCACAGAGAGAGAGAAAGAGAGGCAGAGACACAGGCAGAGGGAGAAGCAGGCTCCATGCACTGGGAGTCTGATGTGGGACTCGATCCCGGGTCTCCAGGATCGCACCCTGGGCCAAAGGCAGGCGCCAAACTGCTGCGCCACCCAGGGATCCCAACTGACTATATTTATGGGGGCCTATTTCTGAGCTCTATTCTGTTTCACTGATTTAACTAACTATTCTTTTTACCAATACCATACAGTCGGGGATCCCTGGGTGGCTCAACGGTTTAGTGCCTGCCTTTAGCCCAGGGCGCGATCCTGGAGTCCCGGGATCGAGTCCTGTGTCGGGCTCCTGGCATGGAGCCCGCTTCTCCCTCTGCCTGCGATCCTGCCTCTCTCTGTCTCTCTATCATGAATAAATAAATAAAACTTTAAAAAAAAATACCACGTCTTGATTACTTGTAGTCTTGATTACTGTAGCTATATTCTAATAAGTCTTGGTGTTGGGTAGTATTGGTCCTTCAACTCTGTCCCATTCCTTCAGTAAGGTGTTGGCTAATCAGAGTCTATTGCCTTTTTTTTTTTTTTTTTTTTTCAGGAGCAAGAAGGAGACCACTTTTATTGCCCGCACTGGACTGGAGCCCAGTGTGGGTGGGACAGGAGGGATTAGGACCTGCTGTGGACAGTAAAGGTGCCCTCAGCGGATGTGGGCCATCTCGCTAAGAAAGGGTGCAGAGCTGGTCCATCCAGAGCAGTGCCTCATGCTGCAGGGGCGTGTGGCGTGTCTATTGCCTTTCCTTATAAACTTTACTGTTTGTTGATACCCACAAAATAACTTGCTGGGATTGTAATGAATTTATAGATCAAGATGGGAAGAACTGACACCTTGACAATATTGAGTCTTTCTATCCTTAAATGTGGAAAATCTCCCCATTTAATTCTTTGATTTTATTCATTAGGTTTGTAGTTTTCTGCATCTAGATCTTATACATATTTTGTTAGATTTATACCTAAGCATTTCATTATATAAACAGTATTCTTGATTTTGTTGTTGTTGTTAAGGTTTTATTTACTTGAGAGAGACAGAGAGTGAGAAAGAGAGCATGAGAGAGGGGAAGGTCAGAGGGAGAAGCAGACTCCTCACTCGTCTCGTGGGGAGCCTGATGCCGGGCTCAATCCTGGGACCTGAGCCAACAGCAGGCACTTACCTGACTGAGCCACCCAGGTGCACCCAGTAGTCTGTTTTTAATTTCAAATGCCACCTGTTCATTACTGGTATGTTGGAAAGCAACTGACTTTTGTCTATTAACCTTGTGTCCTGCAACCTTGCTATAACTGCTTATACATTTCAGGAGTCTGTTGATTCTTTTCCATTTTTTTTACATAATCATGTCATCAGCAAAGAAAGACCATTTTCTTTCTTCCCGGTCTGTAATCCTTGCATGTATACCTTTTCATCTCTTATTGCATCATCTAGAACTTAGAGTACATGTTGAAAAGGAGCGGTGAAAGGAGACTTCCTTGCCTTGCTCCTGATCTTAGTGGGAAAGCTTTCAGTTTGTCGTCATTAATTATAATGCGGGCTGTAGGTCTTCTGTGGATATTCTTTATCAAGTTGAGGAAGTTCCCCTTTATTCTTACTGAGAGTTTTTACCATGAATAAGTGGTGAATTTTGTGAAATGATTTTTCTGCATCTATTGATATGATCATGTGATTTTTCCTTTTTAGCCTACTGATGTGATGGATTACATTAACTGATTTCTGAATGGTGAACCAGACTTGCATACCTGGGATAAACATCATTTGGTCATGGCATTTAATTCTTTTTATACACTGCCGGATTCAGTTTGCTAATATTTTTTTGAGGATTTGTACGTCCATGTTTGTGACAGACACTAGTCTGTTCTCTCTGATGTCAATGTCTTTTCTGGCTTTGGTAATAAGGTAATACTGGCCTTACAGAATAAGTTAGGAAGTACTCCCTCTCCTTCTATATTCTGAAGTAGACTGTAGAGAATTGGCATAATTTCTTCCTTAAATGTTTGGCAGAATTCACCAGTGAACCCATCTGGGTACGGAGCTTTTTTTTTTTTTTCTTAATTTAATTTTTTTATTTTTTATTTTTATATATTTATTTAATTTTTTATTTTTTCATTTGGCGTGGAGCTTTCTGTTTTGGAAAGTTATTATATGATTTATTTAAGTTCTTTAATAGATACAGGCCTTTTCAGATAGTCTGTTTCTTCTTTCGTGAGTTCTGACAAATGGTGTCATTCAAGGAATTAGTCTTTTTCATCTAGACTATCAAATTTATGGGCAAAGTGGTTCATTACTGAAGTCTGCTTTTTCATTTCTGATATTAGTAATTTGTATCCTCTCTCTTTTTGTCTTAGCCTGGCTAGAGGCTTATCAACTTTATTAATCTATTCAAAGAATTAGCCTATGGTTTCACTTATTTTCTCTTTTGATTTCCTGATTTCAATCTCACTGATTTCTTTTCTAATTATTTCCTCTGCTTACTTTGGATTTAATTTTCTCCTCTTTTTCTAGGTTCCTTAGATAGGAATTTAGACTACTGATTTTATATATTTGTTCTTTTCTAATATATACATCCAATGCTATAAATTTCTAACCACTGTTTTTGCTGCATCCCACCAATTTTGATGTGTTTTCATTTTAATTTAGTTTAAAATATTTAAAAATTTATCCTCTGATCCATGTATTATTTAGAAGTGTGTTATCTCCTCTTCTTGTATTCTGGGATCTTCCAATTATCTTTCTGTTCTGGATTTCTAGTTTAATTCCATTGTACTCTGAGAGCAGACACTGTATTAGCTCTGTTCTTTTAAATGGGTTCAGGTGTGTTTTATGGTCCAAAATATAGCCTATCTTGCTGAATGTTCCATATAAGCTTAAAAAGAATGTGAATTCTGCTTTGTTAGATGAAGTAGTAGTCCACAGATGTCAGTTATATCCAGTTGATTTGATGAGTTTATTGAATTCAACTATATCCTTACTAATTGTCTGTGTCTGTTCTGTCTGAAATTAATATAGTAACTTCTGTTTTCCTTGGATTAGTGTTAGCATGGTACATTTTCCTCCTTCCATTTCCTTTTAAACTGAATGTGTCTTTATATATATATATATATATATATATATATATATATATATATATATACTTTTTTTTTTAAGATTTTATTCATTTACTCATGAGAGACACAGAGAGAGAGAGAAGCAGAGACACAGGTAGAGGGAGAAGCAGGCTCCATGCAAGGAGCCTTATGTGGGACTCAATCCCGGGACTCCAGGATCATGCCCTGGGCTGAAGGCAGGCGCTAAACTGCTGAGCCACCTGGGATCCCCAGAATGTGTCTTTATATTTAAAGTGGATTTCTTATGACAACATATATTTGGGTCTTGTTTTTTGACACAGTCCAACAATTTCTGTCTTTTAATAGATGCATTTAGACCACTGACATTCAAAATGATTACTGATGTAGGAGATCAATATCTACCAAATCTGTTACTCTTTTCTATTTGTTGGCCTTATTGTTTCCTATTTTTGTCTTCCAATTTTTTTTGCCCTTTAATTGAGCATTTTGTATGATTTCATTTTCTCTCCTCTTGAACAGTTCAAACTCATGTTGTTCGAAGATCAATTATATATACATACATACATATATAGTTATCTATGTAGGTACATATATACATATACAGTTGTGTGTATGTATGTATGGATGTGTGTGTGTGTATAGTTTATTCAATTGTGGTCTGAGAGCAGACATTGTATTATTTCTATTCTTTTTAATTTGTTGAGATATGTTTATATATTAAACTATATTTAGGTAACTGTATACATAATACATATTAGCATACATAACTGAATAATTGATACACTGTTAGAATCATTCTGAAATGTTATCTTTTAGACCAATTAGGAATAAGAAAAACACTTATTTTTGCCTTTAACTTAATCCTTCTGTGATGTTCTTCCCATCTTTATGTAAATCTGAGTTTCTGAGCTATATTATTTTTCTTTTCTCTGAAGAATTTCTCTGAGCATTTCTTTCAAGGCGAGATATTTCTCTGGCAACAAACTCCCTTAGTTTTTGCTCACTTTAGAAGGTCTTTTTTTCCTTCACTTCTGAAGAACAATTTCACAGGGTATGTAATTCTAGGTTGGTGGATTTTTTTTCCCTCAACACTTTGAATATTTCCCCCTTATTCTCAACTGCATGGTTTTGAGGAGAAGATGGATGTAATTCTTATCTTTGTTCCTCTGTAAGTTTTTTTTTCCTCTGGCTTCTTACAGGAATTTATCTTTCATTTTCCTTCCTTCTTTTTTTTTTTTCTTTTTTAAAGATTTTATTTATCCATTCACAAGAGATACACACAGAGAGGCAGAGACATAGTCAGAAGGAGAAGCAGGCTCCCTGCAGGGAGCCCAATGTGGGACTTGATCCCAGGACTCCAGGATCACGCCCAGAGCCAAAGGCAGATGCTCAACCACTGAGCCACCCAAGTGTTCCAATCTGATACTCTAGTTTGAAAATGATATGCTTAGGTATAGTTTCTTGGGGGCATTTATCCTACTTGCTACTCTGAGCTTCCTGGACCTATGGGTTGGTGTCTACATTGCTTTAGGGAGAGGAAGAGGGAGGGGAGAGAGAAAGAGAGAGCAAGCACAAGCAGAGGGAGCAGCAGGCAGTGGGAGAGGGAGAAGCAGGCTCCCCACTGAGCAAGAAGCCTGATGAGGGACTCGATCCCAGGACCCTGGGGATCAAGATCCAAGACAAAGGCAGATGCTTCACTGATGGAGCCTCCCAGGGGCCCCCCAATGAAGAATTTTAGATCAGGAGGAGGAAGTACAGTGGTGCTAGGTGTGTGTGGGGGCAGTCGAAAAAACAAAGGACAGAATACAATGCGTCAAATACAGTAACATGGCAATGCCTATATAACAGTGAGTGGCACCCAAGATGTCAGTGCCTCTTGTCTGGTAGGACAACTTCTTTTAAGAAGAACAGAAATTGAACTGCACGTGGCTAGGCAGTGCATGGAAACCCACAGCTATTAAATGGAGACTCTTGTATCTGGGCAATAAGAAATACAACAACAGCACATTTTCCTGATTTGGACAGAAACATGAGGCCTGATGATAATCATAGTAAGAGTAATAGTAATGAGGAAAATACGTGGATCCTGACCATGGGAGGAGCACTGTGGTAAGCACATTAAATAAAGCATCTCACTTAATCCCCATAGAAACTCCCTGAGGCCAGTAGTAGTTTTACTCCCGTTTTACAGATTGGGATACCAAGGCTTTCGGAAAACAAGTGACCTGACTAGGGCTTCTCGGCCTGTACGAAGAGAACAGAGACTACATATTTCAGTCCCCTATGACCTGCTGCCTTTTACTGTCGTGTCCATGCTGTCTCCCCCCTGCCTCCGGCCTGTGCACCTACTGTCCTCGGCCCACGCTCCCTCAGATGCCCACGCTGACCCGGCCCGGCATCCCCACCTACTCCCTACCCGCGCACTTCCGGGGCGGGGTCGGCACCCCGACACCCAGGACGGCACCTGGCACACGCTGCGGAGCCACAGGCGGACCTACCTTACATCATTGCCACCGTGCGCGAAGGACCCAAAGCAGGCGGTGAGGACCTGCAGGAAGTGGAACAGGAGGTGGACCTCGGCTGTGTCCTTCTCCTCCTTCTCGTCCTCCGCAGGGTCCTCTCGGGGCTGGTCGGGATCCGCCAGCTCGGACGCCAGCTTCATTTCCACGCCTCCCTCATCTGCCTCGATCTCGGCCTCCGCTACGGCGTTGCAGTAGCTCGAGTAGCTGTCGTAGCGAAGCCTCTTCTTCGAGTAGGACACGGCGTCACCCACCAGCTTCTCGCTGTCCTCTGCAGCCGAGGACGACTCGGCGGCCTTGAAGGTGGCGTGCACGGGCAGCCCACAGATGGCGGCGGTGTAGCAGGTGTAGCTGTTGTTGCGGCGCAGCAGCCGGGCGCTGCTCTCCTGCGTGGGCCTCTCCTCGGGGCCCCTGTCCGCGTGCATCCTGTGCAGCAAGTCCTTGTAGAGCCCCGAGTCCTTGTGGACCGTGTGGTACACGTGCCCGTCGCCCCTCGCGTGCCCGTCGAAGCCGAAGGTGCCGTTGGAGATGGGCGAGCGTGCGGAGCCGTGGGTCATGGACAGCGCCCGGCCTGGAAGGTTAATGAGAGGCTGCCTGTCTCGCCTTCCAAATATACCCCACTTCCGGGAGGAATCACTCCTCCCTCCTTGTGATGTTGGTTATCTCTGGAGATGTGGGTTATGGGGCACTCTCAATGTTTTCACATGCTTTCTTTTCCAAATTAACTATAAAGGACATGTAATATGGTTGAAATAAAGGAAACTTGGAAACGTAGGAATAATACGGCTTTTGAAAATGATGTGATTTTTCTCCTAAAAAGTGTCTTCCAAAAATGACCACAGCCCTTTTGTCCTGATTCTAGTGCCCAACAAAGGGAGAATCCTTAGAAGGAACTTATTTTGGGCAAACTTCATAAATGAGGGGCAAAATCCAGTGCACTGTGAGACAGATACTCTAGGTGCTCCTTAAAGGCTAATTAAGTTCAGTGGGGCAAAATTCATCTGCTTTCTTTGGGCCAAGTGTGAGACCACACCTACGGGAAGCGGAAGTAGGTGCCAGGTCCCCATCTTGCAGGGAAGTGGGCAGGCCCGGACAGGCCTGGCAGAGGCTGGCACTCGCCAATCGGTATCCACAAATGTTAGAAGATGAAAGACTCCCTTCTCCCCCCCACCTGCAGGACAATAGTAGATGTTTCCTGAGGTGTCTGTGATTCTACAGCAGGATGACCTCCTTGATTCAATTTCAGTTTCTCCTTGTGTCTTCCAGGAGGGAGGCAAGCTTATTAGCAAGCTGGAAGGGCCAACCTCCAGCAGCTGGGTGCCTGCAACCCAGGAGGTGCCTGGGGCAGTGCGCAGGGTGGTGCACAGGCCCCTGGTGCCACTGATGAGACTACACAGAGGTCTTGGAAGAAAAGCACAGGACCAGAGTGAGCCTGCTCTGTTGACTGCATGGTTTTCTGACACTTCTTTAGGCCCTGGGTTCTCCCAAAACAAAACTGGGGAACGCTAAAACCTAGCTATCTGGAGGCAGGACCGGCTGGTGCCCAACCCCAACCCCCCCCCCCCCCCGCCAGCTCCTCCCTGCCAGCAGCCCCTAGGACCTGCTCTCTGCCACCATGCAAACCCAGATCCTCTGCAAACATCTTACCGTAGGAGGCCCGGGGGTGGTTTCCCACTGTTGTGCCTTCCGAGGTCCCAGCCGGCTCCTCAGCCAGCCCCGTGAGAGGGACGGTGCTGTCGTCATTGGCCTTGGCACCTGGTAGCTCTTTAAATACTGGGGACTCCACTTCCTGAATTTTACTGAGGCTTTCATCAGACACTCGTGATAAAGCAGCTTCTTTTTGTAATTTGCCTAAAGAAAATATAGTCATAACTGCAAGTTTTAAAATATAAAAATGAATATTTATCTTTAGTACTTACTTTGGAAATGAAAAAAATAGTTATAGCTAGATAGAAAAAATAAAGTGTAGAGTTTAATTATCTGGGAAATGCAAGCCAGAAAATTCAGATACTGAGGACAAGAGTGGGGCTCAAGCCTCAGCTATCTCCTCCAAAACCAACAGAGAGAGCTAGATCCAGTCCCCATGGTCCCTTCCAGGGCTAACATTCTGTAATCCTACAACCATCTGGACGGGTCTTCTATTTTCTTAAACTAACCTCAAAATCACTGAAATATTTATTCTTTTTTATCTTCAGAGATATTAGTTATAATCTTTGGTTTTCTTCCATTCAATAAATTATTGATCTCTGACTTCTTCAGGTCACCAAATAATAGGAAACAAGTAAATCATTTTCCAAAAAGGAACAGAGAGATTCTACTCACTTTTGAAAATCCTTTACTTTCAAAGAGAAGAGATTTTTTTTTAAAGCTGCTTTAAAGATCTACAGTATTCTTTTAAATCAGATCTGAGATATGGTACGGCTAATTTAATGATCTCGCTGCTTGTAAATTCTCCTGGGCAAATTTCTAAGCTCTCATGTATAGAACTAAAATGCACTATCTTCTCAGTTCTTCTGCTGGATACACTCACAGAATCTCCATCACACCTCTCTCTCTCTCTCTCTCTCTCTCTCTCTCTCTCTCTCTCAGAAATACAGACCTTCTAACACTACATTTCTGTTATGCACTACAGGAAAAAAAGGTACACACAGATCTCTGACCACAAGGTGCTTATAATCAAAATGAGAGAAGATAATATTTATAAAGATACAATAAATAAGCAAAAAATGTTAACACTTACAAGAGACAGGTTTCATTATTCTCTGCTTTTTATTAATGGGCACACTGAGGTACAGAGAGATGAAGTCATTTGCCCAGAGTCACCAAGGGGGTAAAATGCTGGCAGGTTAGCTTTATGGTCTGTGTCCTTAATCACTAATGTGTACTTAAAATAACCAAACAAGAAATATATACTGAAATATCAAAATATGGCATTGATTGAAAAAAACTAAAAAACTCTTGGGAAGCCAGAATGGGGAGCAATATTAGTTTCCTGCTGTCACAGTATAGCCTGAAGCTGGAATGCAAAGATTTTTATCTTGTCTTTGATGAGAATGTTCTGCTATTAGAAAGCCTTTAAAAGTCAAAGCATTTAAGTATGTGGTTAAATCAGACAAGCGGTATGTTTTAAGGGGCTTGCCTTAGGCTGTTACTCTGTATGAATGGAGGAGGTGATATTTATTCTCAGCAGAGAGCAGGGGGCGGGGTTAACTTGAGGGAAGCCAGCCCCTAGTTTTCAATCCATTATTGATGTGGCTTTACTATCCAGTCTGAAGTAGTATGCATTAATGTGGATCTCTTTACTATTAACTTTTTTAAAAAAAGATTTTATTTATTTATTCATGAGAATACACAGAAAGGGGAGAGAGAGAGAGAGAGAGAGAGAGAGAGAGAGAGAGAGAGAGAGAGGCAGAGACACAGGCAGAGGGAGAAGCAGGCTCCGTGCAGGGAGCCTGACGCGGGACTCGATCTGGGGTCTCCAGGATCATACCCTGGGCTGAAGGCGGCACTAAACCACTGAGCCACCTGGGCTGCCCTATTATTAACTTTTAAATTTTTTTTAATTTTTTTAAAAATTTATTTATGATAGTCACACACAGAGAGAGAGAAAGAGGCAGAGACATAGGCAGAGGGAGAAGCAGTCTCCATGCACCGGGAGCCCGACATGGGATTCGATCCCGGGTCTCCAAGATCGCGCCCTGGGCCAAAAGCAGGCGCCAAACCACTGCGCCACCCAGGGATCCCTTAACTTTTAAATTTACACATAGTAAGTTGACTATGTGCATATGCTTGTCCGTCCTGATCCTCAGACATGTTTATACCCGTGTAACCCCTACCTGGATCAGGATAAAGCTGCCCGTGTAGTGTGATCCCCTGCCCAGCTCCTTGGGAGCCACAGACCTGGTCTCTGTACCTGTAGTGTGGTCTTGTTCAGAATGTTATATAAGTGAAACTATAACATTTATAATTTTTATAAAAATTTTAAAAAGGGAAAAAACTTTTGTGAGTGAAACAAAGAGTTTTTAGATGTGATACCCAAAATACAATTTACAAAAAAAGAAGTTGATAGACTGTGCTTCATCAAGATTAAAAACTTAACAGCATTTTGCTCTGTGAGAAACACTATAAAGGGAATGAAAAGACAAGCTAAGATTGGGAGGAAGTATTTGCAAATCCCCTGACAAAGGACTTGTATTCAGAACATAAAGAGAAATCTCTGAAAAGAGTGGTTATAAAATGAGCAAAAAACCTGAACACCTACTCCATCAGCAAAGCTATACAAATGGCAAATAAGTCCATGGAAAGGTACTCCATGTCGCTGGTCATCACAGAAGTGTACATTAAAATCATGAGATATGGGCAGCCCCGGTGGCGCAGTGGTTTAGCACTGTTTGCAGCCCAGGGCGCGATCCTGGAGACCCCGGACCGAGTCCCACGTCAGGCTCCCTGCATGGAGCCTGCTTCTCCCTCTACCTGTGTCTCTGTCTCTGTCTCTCTCTCTCTCTCTGCATCTCTATGAATAAATAAAAAATTTTAAAAAATAAAATCACGAGATATCACAATACACCAATTTGAATGGCTCAAAAAATATGGGCAAATATTATACATTTTATTTTTTTTCCCTAAAACTCTTACTACTTTCTATTTTTTAAATCTATTTTCATTTAAATCTACGATGTGCTTTGAGTTAACTGTTTTTTACAGGTGTGAGGCTTAACTTAAGGTTCTTTTTCTCGTATCCAGATGTCCAAATGTTCTAATGCCATTTGTTGAAAGACAACTTTCTCCACTGCAGTGCCTCTGACTTTGGTGAGAATCAGTGTGCCGTATTTGTGCGGGCCTGTTTCTGGACTTGTCTGTTCTAGTAACGTGGGCTTCTATCTCTTCATTGATACCACACAGTCTGGTGGCTTTATATTAAGCATGAGTTGAGTAGTATGAATCATCCCACTTGTTCTTCTTCAGAATTGTTTCTGGCTATCCTAGTTCCTTTACTTTTCCATATAGGTTTTATTTTTTAAATTAAAATTTATTATTATTTTTAAAGATTTTATTTATTTATTCATGAGAAACTCAAAGAAAGAGGCAGAGACACACACAGGCAGAGGGAGAAGCAGGCTCCCTATGGGGAGCCCGATGTGGGACTTGATCCCAAGACCCCAGGATCACGCCCTGAACCAAAGGCAGATGCTCAACCACTGAGCCACCCAGGCGTCCCTCCATACAGATTTTAAAAGCAGCTTGTCTAAATCTACAAAATATCTTGCTGGAATTTTAATTTATATTGTGTTAAGTCTAGAAAGCAATCTGGTAAGAACTGGCATCATAACTATTCGGGGTCTCATTTGTTTTTGCTCTGCTTTGAAATGTGGGTTTTCAAATTCAGATATGTCCACACTAAACACACTGTAAGGCACACGCTGAGGCCAAAAGTAAATACTTCTTTTCTTTTGAGAGCCCTTATTAAAAACATGTGGCCTCAAGCCTTGGAATTATGTTGTTAATGACAGAAAAACAACTCTGGCAGCTTTCTGACCTGGTGCATACTCTTCTGTAATCTGGCTCCTTTTGCTCAAAATAATGTCTGTGAAATTCTTTATATTATGGGCAGTTCATTCTCTTTAGTGCTAAGCAGGCTTCTACTGTATGAATATACCACAATTTGGTTACCTTTTCGCCTATTTAGGAACATTTGGATTGTTTCTAGTTGTTATAACAGAATGGCTGCATACAACTCTTTTTATGAATGTGTGTTTTCATTTTTCTTGAAATTACTGGGTCATGTGGTTAAAGATATGCTTAACTTTACAGGAAATTTCTCATTTCTGGAGTGGTTGTACCATTTTCCATTTCACCATAAATGCACGAAAATTCTAGTTACTCCACTTCTTCATCAATGCTTTGAAATACTAGTCTCCATACTTTCAGCCATTTGTGTGGGTATGAAATGGTATCTTACTGTAGTGTGAATTTGCATTTCCCTGAAGACTACTGTTTTTCATCGGGCTGGTAAAACCTGACTGAACAGTTAAGTTCCAATTATCCGAGGCAACCAGGACTGTATTGCTGACCCAAGTCACAAGCTACTAAGAAAAATCTGAGCTGGAAAGCAGTCAGGAGCCGAGAGAGGAGGATGGGGCAAGTAACTCCGTGCTATGTTCCAGTTTCCCGTGTTAGTAATGGTACCTGTGGATTATACCTGAAGCCCCCAGGAATGAGGGATTTTGTAAATCAGGAGAATAAAAAAGCCCTTACCTGCTATTTTCCTCCGCATCCATGGACACACAAAGAGCCATACAAAAAGGGCAAACAGCAGCGCGACACCAAACGAGATGAGTGCTATTGCCCATATGGGAAGGACCAGACCAAGCACTGGGGAGAAAGGACAGTGGTGGTGTCAGTGGATATATTCTGAAAGGTCAAACCTCATGCCAACATACTTTACATTTCCTAAATCCATAAAAATCACCTGGATTTTGTATTTAATAAAAGTCTCAACCAAAAAAAGTGCTACAGTTTTTGGGGGTGGGAAGCTGTGTGTTCAAGACTTGCTACACCTTGTCGCTATGTGGTTAAACTGAGTAGCGAGCCAACTAGTCCCATTTCTCCAATGTGGCACCAACAGCATATTACATTGGAATAAACCCATTCACCCATCGTCTCAACATCAAAATGCAGGAGTGGACACACAGAAAGGACTCTGCGACCTGCTGCCTGCCGCCAGACCCTCAGCCCTCACCGCACACTGCTGCCTGCTGCCCGTCTGGCCATCTCAGGGGTCGGCAGCCCTGCTTTAAGTGGCCGTGACACTCTGACCACACACATGCTCCTTTTTAAAGTCTGCATGGAAACAAAAGTCTTCTAAAAGGACATGTAACCTTCAAACTCCGCTCTTCTTTGAAGTGTTAACTTGTGGCATCACAGCAGAGGAGACCTTTTCATTAAAATTCAGTAATGCACACTAGGTTGCAATTACATTAGCCGATAGAAGGACAGAAGCGCACGCGGCTTAGAACATCACATTTTCCTGGCACTGTACTGTCTCCAGAACTCATCACTCTGCATTTTGTACATCACGGGTTGTCATGGGTGGTAACAGGCAACACTTAACCTGCACTCACAGGTTCGCAGCTTACACAAGCATGCTTGCACAGGAAGGAACAGGCATGTACGAGAATACTCCCATGGCATTACTCGTAACAGTGAGAATGTGCAGGATGAGTATGTGCGTCATGATGAAGATGTGAAATAATTATAGGACAGAGTCATAAAAATAAGGTATATCTACATCTATAGATAAGGGAAGAGGCCCACGATCTAGTAAGTAAGAAAGGCTGCCTGGATGTGTACCACAATCCAATTTATGTTAAAAAATAAAACCCCATATAAAAAATAAAACTCCTACCATACACATAAATGTATGAAAAAGCTCTGGAATGATACAATGGCTACCCCTGTAGAGAGACAGGAAATTGGAAGGGCTCTCACTTCTCGCTGCATATATTTTTGTACTGTTGACTTGGAAAACACATAATAAGCATGTGACTTTTGTAAACTGTTAAACATGTTTTAAAAGTTTTAAAGGAATGAACTACTTAAAACTCTGCCCTTTGCTCTTGGATTAAATAAATCTTTAATGATGCAAACTTTGTTACCCTGTTAATGATTTTATACATACAAACCCACTCAAAGTTATTTAACTAAGGTATTATTATTTTTTGTTTAAAGATTTTATTTATTTATTCATGAAAGACACACAGAGAGAGGCAGAGACACAGGCAGAGGGAGAAGCAGGCTCCATGCAGGGAGCCCGATGTGGGACTCCATCCCGGACTCCAGGATCACGCCTGGGCTGAAGGCAGATGCTCAACCGCTAAGCCACCCAGGTGTCCCTCAACTAACGTATTATTAAACATTTTGGTAACTCTAAGAGGTAGAATAGGTAGGTAGTACTATAAGTGAGAGCCAGGATTAGCATATGTAAATAGGAAAAACAAAAAACCAGAATCACCTAGCTTAATTATAGCTAAGGTGTCACCAGTGGGAGTGCAGACACTTAGGGCTAGACGATTCCCACTACTTGCTCTGACATCAGAAAGCTGTGGACTCAGGTGGGGCTGGGCCCCGTTAGCTGACAGCTCGGCTCCAGCTCTGTTTCTGCCCCTCAATCTGACACTCGTAAAACCACTCAGGCTCACCTTACTAGGCTGTGCCTATGGCCAGGCTTCCTGGCTTCTACTTTACCACTTCACGTCAGTGTCTTAATACATGTGATAAAAGATCACACCAAAGCTGTTTCTAGCCAAACTGAGTAGTGACTGTTAATTAGCAACACCAAATTGATCAAGTGACATCAATACCCATCACTCTTATAGCTTAAAAGTATTTAGTTTCTGAAGAGGTTTCCTTCATGCCTTCTGGTTTAGCTGATGATAAAATTGTTAACTGTGCTGCTTTTAGCTTCATGTGTTAATCTGATCTAAGAGAGGCAGGCTCTGGATACTGTGGCAAGAGAGAAACAATTTGGAGATATATATAGATATATAGATATATAGATTTATATAGATATCTTCATAGATTTTATATATTATATATCTATCTATAATCTATCCATCTATCTATTTTTAATTAGTGAACACATTTGCTCTCAGGCACTATTTTTTTCCCCATCCATGCTGAGCACAGCCTACAACAAAAGCAGAGAAGGGCTGCTTTATGTATTCCTTCCAAGTCCATCTCCATGCATTCTGTTCAAGTCCCATAGGATTCTGCAGGTGTCAGGACCAACATTCATAAGAGAAAAACTAAGGTTGGTTACAAGACTCTTTTGATCTTTGGCAGAGCCAATAAGCCACAATACCACATGCCCCTTGTAGCTCTATCATCACAACCTCCTCTGCCATCAGTTTGGCCTGGGAAGTGGCCAGAAAGCTCTGAAGTCACCCTCCTAAGTCACAAGAAACTGGAAGGGAGAGTAGAGGATAAACACATCACTGAGGGTAGAAGCAGAGAAGAGAGAGTAAAAAATCAAGGAAAATAAAAAACAAAGGAATGCAGGAAAATGGTGAAAAGTCATTGATAATGAGAGCAAAGTGGAATAGAATGAGGACAGAATTTGGATCTGAACAAATTATTCCAGCAATTTAGTAATGTAACAGGGCAGCAAAAGAACAGTCCTCGTTTTTCACCTGACAGTCATTATAAGCATCTATAGAATAAATACAGCTCCTATAAAACCAATGGGACATTAACTATATTACTTCCCTTATACCCCCACTCCTCAGCTTTTCTCTATAGCCTTTCTTCTGCTGTTGCTTTAATTTTTTTTTTAAATTTTTTTTTTATTTTTATTTTACGATAGTCACAGAGAGAGAGAGAGAGGCAGAGACACAGGCAGAGTGAGAAGCAGGCTCCATGCACCGGGAGCCCGATATGGGATTCGATCCCGGGTCTCCAGGATCGCGCCCTGGGCCAAAGGCAGGCGCCAAACCGCTGCGCCACCCAGGGATCCCTGCTGTTGCTTTAATTTTATAAATAATACCTGCTTACTGTGAAAATATCAGTATATATGATGCACAAATATGAAACTTCCTCATACTCTTCCCTACTGAACCTACTTTCTAGAGAAACTGTTAATTATTTCGAGTTTCTTTCCAAGTATTTTCTAAATATAAACATACAGTGTAGAATGTTTGTGAGAATCTTTTTCTTCCTTTAAAAAAAAAATGAACAGGGGCACCTGGGTGGCTCAGTGGCGTGATCCTGGGGTTCTGGGATCAAGTCCCACATTGGGCTCCCTGCAGGGAGCCTGCTTCTCCCTCTGCCTATGTCTCTGACTCTCTCTGTGGCTCACGAAAATAAATAAAATAAAATCTTTTTTTAAAAAAAAAGAACAGATATAGAATCATACTGTATATACTGTCCTGTGATTTCATTTTCCCCATACATCATATTGTGGACATCTTTTCACAGACACACACACACCCCTTTAGCTCATCTGCAGGTGCTGGTGCTGCTGGGCTTGGGACCACACTTTGACTCAGAAGTCTGATCAACCACCAGAGGCGTGCTCAGGCTATGAGCCCTGGAAGCTCAAAGCAGCAGGCAATGAATTTCAGCACTCATTCTTTCAAAACTGAACAAAACCAAGTCCCGCACAACTGAGGACTTTTTCATTACAAATAAACCTCAGGCTTGTATCCAACCCAAGCGAGCACTTTATTTCCTAAAGTTATTTTTTGCCTCTTGCAAATTATTTTTTTAAGTACAAGTAAAACACACAGAGACAATTTTTTAAAGTACTCAGTCTTTGAAGTGGAAGAATGACTTTTATTTGAGAAAAGTCAAGTCAAATGCAAAGTAAAACAAATCAGATGCAGCCTAAGACATAAACAACTTCAAAATAATTTAGAAAGGAGGAGCAGATGAAATCAAAACACAGCACTGGAGCTCAACAGCCAATCAGTCCCACTGAAGACTGTGTGTAGAAAACGCTATTTATCAAAAGCTCTTACAGCTGAAAACAGGGTAAGATTAATGCTGCCACTCATTTCTGCTAGAGAATTTCACTCCTTCCTTCTACCTCTGACGCACCTATTTACTGAACGGACATGTTCAAAGGAGGAAAGGGATGCAGGAGGAGTAAGTTCCAGACCAGCAGGAAGGCAGACGTACTTTGAGAGGAAGTTAACAGAGTCAAGGCTGAAGGGACCCTCCTCAGCTCAGTCTCACCAAACATGACAGCAGCGCCCTCAGGCCAAGAGCCCCCACGGGAGGGAGTAGGCAATGCAATCCTGGTTAGAAGGGCAAAAGTTAACTTTTGTTTAAATAAACAGAAGACCTGGACGCACCTACTGGATATTCTAGAAGTGTGCCCCAGGAACCAAAATATTAGTAAAGTCCTTTTCTGACCTAGTGGGGAAACAAAACAACCTTCTCTTTCCTTCTCCTGTAGGCAAGCCCCTGCCCCCTCCGGAAAACTTCAAGTAAGAAGCTTTCCAAACCAACATGTGTGGAAAAAATAAAAAGATAGGATGACTCAGGACATGCTGGCAACGTAAGGCGGAAAAGATGAGACTACTTATGATGGATGGATGGTAATAAAAGAGCCCCTAAGACGCACTGGGAGTTACTGCGGGCCAGGCACTGTGTTCAGCACTATCTCACATAATGTGGTGGCCCCTCCACAGAAGTCCTCCTCCTGTCTGTACTTTATCATGATGCACAGAGGCTCAGAGAGGTGAGACGTGACATTCCTGACAGCACAGCTCCCCAACCAAAGTCCTTAACATTAACTCCAGCACTGGGAATGCTGTCTGATGGGGTCACTGGATGCCGGGCATTGAGGGGGGCACTGGACAGGATGAACACTGGGTGTTATACTGTATGTTGGCAAATCAAACTACAATACAAAAATATACAAAAAAAAAATGCTGTCTGTGTGTTCAAATGAGGGATATCTTCAAGATTCTTGTGCAGATTTTTAAATATCCCTAATTAAAGAGGTAGCTACCCTCTTTACACTACCTACATATTAAATGTATACAAAAAACATAGAACCACGTTTTTAAATGTATTAGAAGTTGTTTTTTTGTTTTTGTGGGGTTTTTTTGTTTGTTTTTTTTGTTTTTGTTTTTGTTTTTTTTTTTTGAGAGAGAGATTGAGAGAGAACGCTCATGTGTATGAGCTGGGGGAGGGAGAGAATTCTGAGTAGGCTCCACGCCCAGTAAAGAGGCCGCCGAGAAGCTTGATCTCATGGCACTGAGGTTATGACCTGAGCCGAAATCAAGAGTCAGATGCTTAACCAACTGAGCCACTCAGGTGCCCCTATTAGAACCCATTTGTAAAGAGAGTGAAAAGAAGGGAAAGGATGTATTAAGGTTGGTGTATTTTCTTTTTTTAAGTAGGCTCCATGTGCAGCATGGACTGTCATTAATGGTGACATGAGGGGCCAGGTACTGTATACCAGGTGTGTCTCACCCGTGCTGTCATGTGTCACTATTGGCACCCTGCAGTGGGGCTGGACTAGGATTCTCCACCTTCCTAGGTAAAATGCCCTTGGAGACTCAGCATGGCCACTTTCCCAGAGGAGCTCAGGAAACCAAAAGGATTAATTCATGTGTAACTCAGCTCACTATGACTTAGCATTAATTTATATCATTTATTTCTTATAGCCTCTCTATGAAGTATAGTTTAATTTTCTCTAGAATATTTGCTCCTCCAGTCTGATGATTCTTTCGGCAAATTTGCAGTAAAACTGCAGCAAATGATGTGGAAACAATAAAGAAGAGATGGAAAATATGAGGCCAAGTACAGGAAAAGGGCAAATTTTAATAAATATCCCACAGCTGACTTCTGACATTCAGAAGGACCACTAAGAGCAAGAAGAATAGAGGGTAGAAAAAAACAAAATGGAGAAATAAAAATAAATCATCCTTATTTATACTTATTCTTATTTCTAGGACTTGGTACGACTGAGATAACCCAGCCTCCTTGCCCAGTCCTGAAATTACTAAGCCAAGAGGCGGCTGCTGACGCTGGCTGAGCTTTTCGTTCGATTACCTTATGCTTTGGGAGCCAGCATGTAATTACGAACAAGACTTTGGAGGAGCAGGGAGACAGGAGACACACAGCGGCCCCACAGCAGCTCTCTGCCATCCTGGAGCTCTGGGGCCTGCCCAGCACTCGGTGGATGCTTTGGGACATTCCGACATGGTAGTGGGTTAACTTTGTGGGGTGGAGCTGTGCGCTTCCTGCCTCCAACTGTCGTATGTATTGAGGAGACAGCCTGTGACAAACACTCCCCAGTCCACGAATGACACAACCTTCAGGGCTACCAGGCTGCTGAGCCTACCGTTGCCATCCCTCTCTGGCTCTCCTTGTCCCTGTGACCATCAGGTGACTGTTGGCTTTGTGCTTTCCATGGAACTGAAGGCAGCAAGATGCTCTACCCCAGGGCTCCCACCCAAAGCCTGGGAGTCCTGACCATGGGAATTTAAACCCTGAAGATCAACATTTTGAAAGTTGCAGAGATGCCAAAGCAGAAAGTTACATAATGTTACCATTCATTCAGAAGCAGGTTTTTTTATTTGCAGTACTCTGTACACAAACACAATTAGATAAGTCTAATAAAATCTGAGAGACATGGCCTTGAGGACACCTAGTTTGAGGAATTAATAAGGCCATTTCCTCATTTGGGAAGAGGGCATGTCTCAATGGTCACGTGATATGCCATTTCTCTTTTTAACAAAAAGGGAGATTTTTGTCAGGCCTGTAACTGAATCTTAATCCATAAAGAACATTAACAAGAAGAAAAATACAAACGAACACAATGTAACGTATCTGCTGACTGCAGAAATCTGCACAATAATGGGTATATTCAGGATCTCACTGTAGGCCACTACAAGGAGAAACAGGAGGAATCCTCTCTACCCAAGCATGTATAGAAGTATTTAATGAGAATGCTCACTAATACCGAAATGTTTGCAACAGGAATACCATATTTGTTTTTCTTTAGCCATCCAAAATACAAAAGAAAACAACTTTTAACCCTAAAACCCCAAGCCTCTAAAACCTTATAAGAAAGAACAAAAGCCACCAGAATGGGAAGAATTCTGAAAATAAAATCACCACCGGTTTCAGTATCTTAAAAAGGTGGAGGGTAGCTTCTACTCACTGGACCTTTTGGTCTGAAAATGCCAAAGAGTTTGGCATTAGTGCCACCAGCCACGCGAGAGCCTCCCCTGCATGGCACAGATGTGCGGAGGCTGCTGGTCTGGGGGACCCCCATGTCCCTCCCCAGACTCCTCTGCAGCTCAGGGGGGCACCCGGTGTTAGATCCTGTTCTGAGACTCAGCACAAGAAGGCCGCTACGGCTACACAGTGAGGCAAAAAGCAGAATGAGAATTTCAAATTTCTTTTTTTCACTTGAAAGTTTATTTGTTGCCTTTGTGCTCCCCCTGCATTACTACTCTTTGTACTACTCCATAATGAGCACAGATAAGGCTTCTGACTGTCCGCCTACTGCAGTGCTGGTACCACTAACCAATGCTGTGAGGTCTGACGGCGATACACCTTGCCTGCTGGATTGAAGCTTCCAATGGCTTCTTACCTGGCGCTCCTGTGTACATGATGGAAAACACGTTTATTGCTATTGTAGCAGCATAGAACACTGGGAGTGCCCGGAGGCCATTGGGAACAGGGTCCTCCTGTATGGTAATGAGATAAAGAGGAAGGTCAGGATTCAGAAAGCATCTGGAGCCAACACAGGCAAAATGCTATAAAACACTGTCAGAGACAGCCTTTCAAACAGCAGTGTGGACCAAAGGGCGGGCCGTGCCACTGCCGTGTGATCTGTTGCACATCAGTGTAGGCCGTGTTTCCTACACAAACACTATTTCAAAGAGCACTATTGTGGCCGGCAGACACATTGAAACGCTAGAATCACATGAGCTGATGTCAAATTTAGAAATAGAGAAGAAATGTGAGTTTAGGCCAGTCCCTGGGGACTGGAGCCCAGAGCTCAGCATCTACCTCAAAACCGGTGGTGCTTGCTACTCCTGCTAAGTTCAGGCTTGGCCCTGAAAATCCACTTGCAACCAGTATTTTGGAACTTGGCCCACAGAGAACACTTTAAGAGAGCCAAGTTACTTCAATACCACTGCATTACTATGAGATTTTACTTTGCTCTATTACATAATACATTTTAGCTCTATTAAAATGTATAAAGCAAATATATTACCATGTGCTGATTTTTAAGATCTTTTCATAAGGCATAGTATTTAACCTTCAACAACTGAAAGTTAAAAGAACTGTGGGTCCTTTGTCTAATAAAATATTTAGGGGTGCCTAGGTGACTCAGTCGGTTAAGTGTCTGCCTGTGGCTCAGCTCATGATCTCAGGGTCCTGGGATAGAGCCAGCATCCAGCGTCTAGCATCCCTCTCCCTGTTCAGCAGGGAGCCTGCTTCTCCCTCTCCCTCTGCCCCTCCCCCTGTTTGTTTTATCTTTCTCTCTCTCTCTGTCAAATGAATAGATAAAATCTTTAAAAAAGAAAACCATTTATTTACGGATTTAGGCTTCTGGCACATTCCCTAAACCTAATACTTCAACAAGAATGGTACCACATATGTTTTACACTGACTAACAGCTGAGAGAATATTTGAAATTGAGAGTTTTAAGCAGATCTACAGAAGATTCTTAAGAAAAAAATGGACTGGGAATTCCTCAATACAGCACCAACACAAAGATGTCACTTGAATAATTAAAAAAGGGACTAATTTCTAATAAGCATGTTAAGACACTGGTACATGTAGATGAGTCTGCCACCTACCCATGGGAGAATGAAATTTAAAGGTTGCTTGGGCTAAGGAGTAAGGATAAATAGAGACTGTCAAAGATTCCTACTGTCAAATGCAAACACATATGGAAATCAAGTGTGTTAGCAGAACAGTACAACCCATTAAGAACCTATTCTAGAATGTTTCAAGTAGCCATCGGCACTTGTTAAGAGGCTTTAGTTGAAAGTAATGAGATGTAAGGGCCAGTGTAGAACATAATGAGGTATAAGGGCCAGTAAGAGCAGGTGAGTAAGTGATTCAACTGCAGGAAAGTCACAGCCAGACCAGTGGGGAAGATGAAGAGCTGCGAACAGAAAGAAGCCAGGATCCAGGGCAGGAGCTGTGAATGAGACACAGTGATCTTCTAACCTGTCACATACCACATGACAAGAACCTAGGCCCCAAGACAAACGAAACACTTACAGGTGCTCAAATGTCTATGGCCCCTGGTTTCCAAAATGTTTTCTCAGGACAAGAGTTACTAAAGAAAGAGTCCCACCCAGCAACTTCTAAAGGTGTACAAGTGCTAAGTTTATGGGGTTTTTTTCATTGAATCACCTTATGTTTTCTCAAATAACTTATTCTTTAAAAAAAAAAAATATATATATATATATATTTTATTGGGCACCTGGGTGGCTCAGTGGTTGAGTATCTGCCTTTAGCTCAGGGTGTGATCCCAGGGTCCCAGGATCGAGTCTTGCATCAGGCTCCCCATAGGGAGCCTGCTTCTCCCTCTGCCTATGTCTCTGCCTCTCTCTGTGTCTCTCATGAATAAATAAAATCTTTTAAAAATATATTTTATTTGAGAGAGAATGAGTGAGAGAGAGCATGAGTAGGGGCAGGGGAGGGGCAGTGGCAGACGGAGAAGCAGACTCCCTACTGAGCAGGGAGCCTGACATGGGGCTTGATTCCAGAACCCCAGGATCACAGCCTGAGCCAAAGGCAGATGCTTAACCAACTAAGCCACCCAGGTGTCCCCCAAATAACTTCTTAAAACTCAAATGCCAATTGTCTCAAGACCTGACTTCTCTCCTCCCTCCTGGCTCCCTCTACTACCTCCTTCTTTCCTTCTCTCCCTTTCCTCCCTCCCTCCATCCACTGATCCATCCATCCATCCATCATCTGCCTTCTTCCTTCCTTCCCTCCCACCCTCCCTCCATCCGTCATCTGCCACCTATCTAAGCATCCATTATTCCCTCTTAGATGCTCCACCAGTGTCTTCCCAAGCACAATGCTGATCACTGGAATACCAAAGTACACAGGACAGTCATGGTTCTGCTCTTACATATCTTATAGTTGGATGGCAACCAGGCCACCATGCAAGAAATAAAACGCCACACAGCACAACAGTGCACTGGTGAGAAAGCACGGACCATTGCAGAAGCATGAGAGAGGTAAAGCAACCAGAATCGTGTGGAATATAAAAGGCTTTCAAGGAAGTGGCCTGTGAAGGCTGAGTAGAGCAGGAGTTTGCCGGGCAAGGATGGGGTTCCAGGCAAACAAAGTCACGAAAGTGAAGTCAAGCAGGCAAGAAAGGGTGGCACCTTCCAAGATGTAAATAAATATTAGTATGGAGAAATCCCAAGAGAAGGAATGTAGCTTTGTACAAATCCAAGAGAAGGAGCCCTCCAACAGACTGCGAGGCAGTGCCAAGGGTAAACAGCGGTATCTCCACAAGAGGATCCAGTTGAGGGAAGGCCTGTCCCCCAGAAGCTCAGTGTGTGCCAGGACACAGCCATCAGGGCATGCTTTAGGGCACAGGAGATACTGAGACAAACCCTTAAGGGTCAGAAAAATACAATCAGGTTTTTTCCCTAGAAAAGGGATCTCAGTAATTTCTAATTTCAATCTCATTTCATTTTTGATAAAATGTACCCCCAATAGGTATGTTTTCTTCTTTTTATCCTTTCCTCAGGAGAGAAAAAGTCAGTATTTCAAGTTTGCTTTCTCCATTCAAATATAGAAAACACTTTATATTTGGGAAAAGAAGTTTTCCAGTTGTGTTTCATGAAAGTCTACTTCAAAATCCTTACACTATCACATTGTGTTCTGTTGAACATTCAGGAAATAATTACTCTTCCTAACTTTTTTCAGGTCTGTGTGCAATGCCTGGGAGAGCTGACTAAGGAGATCACAGGGCATGAAATACTATTTACAATGCTGCTCCCTGAGGGAGCCCCTGGGTACTCTACCTCAACTCATTGGACCTGCTTCATTATTTTCTTTTATAAGAATTTACTTTTAAGTAATCTCTACACCAAACGTGGGGCTCAAACCCATAACCTCAACATAAAGCGTCACACGTTCTATGGACTGAGCTGGACAAGCACCCCTTTCTGCCTACTTTAAAATAAAGTCTAATTTGAACTGCAGGGTGCCATGCCTTAATGTAAAAATACTATCATTCCTCTGACTCCCTACTAATTTCTATTGGATATAACTAAAATCAGTTTTAAAACTTAATAAAAACCTAAGAGCCTCACTTACCTTCTTTAAGATGAAAATTCTGATCAGTACAAACAGCACGCCAGACATGAAACCAGACAACAGTGGAGATATAAACCAAGAAGCAACTGAATAATTAAAAAAAAATCTAATGAATGTTAAAATTCTACGTAAGTCATAGTTATACAATATAATGATAGCCCACATACAGTACATACATTAATAAATATTCCTGGAATTATTCACCTTAACTCAGAACCTAATAAACCCTACTTCCCTGGCAGGGCTGACCTTCACACACAAACACAGACTTCCAGTGAGCACACTCCCAGCACACAGTCAAGTAAGGGATCCCTGGGCCTGGTCTCAGAAGACAGACTCTTGTGAATGCCATAGCACCCATTCTGTCTGTCGTTCTTACCGATCCATATGGAGAGCTGGTCCTTGCTCCAACAGTAAAGGTTATTTAAAAGGTGAGCCACTTTCCATTTAATTTTCCTAGGTCAGCCTGGTACTACCCTCCTATGGCCCAGTTCCCATCTCTGGCTGCATACCGGAAATATCTGGGGGAGTTTTCAAACACCAGTTATGCTCTGGTTCTAACCCCAGAATTCTGATTTAAGAGGTTTGGTTCTGGGCATTGATATTTTTAAATTGCTGCTCCAGAATTGAGAGACATTATTTTAGAAGCCTCCTGGGATCTAAAGTGATTTTCCTGGCCATCTGTGTCCCTGGCTTGGTAGGTCAGGGATGCAGGGACATGTTTCACCTAGAGCTCCTGAGGTCATTGTGATTCTTATATGGATGAGGAGCCCAGAAGATGGAGATGGGGTGAGAGAATGCTAATCAGAATGGGTGGGTCTGTACATAGCGGGCTGAATGGATTTCCCTCTTGCTAAAAGCCAGAGCCAGGAGACAGATGTTCAGACCAGTCAGACTAGTCCTTGGGTGCAACCTACAACTTAGGGCTAGAGTGTCTCCTATGAGGGGGCAGACTCAGGAGACCTCTTGAATGCAATGAGGTAAGTAAGACTGGGCATGCTCCAAGGTTTCCCCATGACCACCAACTCTGCTTCCTGGACACAGAAGGTATCTTCTTCACCAGAGCCTACCTAGTTTTTCTGACTACGGACTGATTTTAATCAATAAATTTCTTTTCTGTCTGGGAACAACAGGTAGATACTACTTTTCAAAGCCAGATGACATCTGAAAAGAGTAGTGTTTAGAAACTAACACACAAAGTTCACAATCTCCTTTGGCAGAAATCTGAGGGGAAAATGTGTTACCAACATAGATCTTGTTTTCTAAACCTTAACATCTGAAGGGAAAAATAATTATAATGGTGGTTTTTAAATAAGACTTACTCTAGAGAATGTAAACTTTGCTTCTGACAGGTAAAAGAAAATGGCAATTACCAATCTTGACGAGTTCCATCCACTGCACACCTTGTGTACCAATTGCAACAAGTGAGAATCCTATAGTAGAACCAACAATGCAATGAGTTCCTGAAATTGGAAGTCTCAGGAAGGATGCAATCAGCTGCCAAACAGCTGAACCTACAGGTTGAAAAATTAGGGGGAAAAAAAAAGGTCAGATATAGAATACAGTATCTCAAACAGCCACAAAGGGAAGAAATTCAAATTTCTGTTTTCCATAACAATATCTACCTAGGGTTGATTTTTTTATGGATTATTTCTTTACAGAGTGCTAAAGTCCTGACAAAAAGTCACTCACTTTAGTCAAAGGAACATTTTTCAACACTGAAAGGATAAAGATGACGAAAGTGTTTAAAGAAAAGTCTATTGACGCCAGTTATTAACTGCCTTTGTCACATTTAAGTATGGGTGCTTGACGATGAACTTGTTCTGATGTGAAGTGTGGCCAAGGCCCAGCAAGAGATTACAGACTCTAGTGAACACAAAGAAGTAAGAAAGGCTGTGTACTGGAGATTTCCCTGTCGTTATGCCTATAGTCACAGAACGAGCAGGGCTAGACACTGGCCATGTCCTATTAGTCTGTAAGAGAGACTGCAATACACAGCAGTGAACAATTACGTTGTACTCCTGAAACTAATAGAGTGTCACATGCCAACTACACCTCGATAGAAAGAGAGAGTGTGCAATTCCACATTGCTTTTTGTATTTCTGCCTCTCCTAGGATAAATCACAATGAAACTGAACCCACAGGTGGCCATCTGCTCTCAGGCCCTGCACAGAATGCCAGGCATTTCCTTTGTATGCTTCCTTGAGTCTTCTAATTCTTACCAGTTAAGAAGATCCTTAGCTTTGGCTTTGTGTCCTTTTACCTCAATTTCACCTCCTTTTCCAGGCTTACTGTTTTTCTAGGCTACAGTTCACTCCAGATATTTTCATAAGCAGATCAAATTTTGCAGGGCGTATTAAAAGCATCAGCTGGGCGAGATCACTTTCAGAAACAGTTGTTGACAAGCTTATATAGAACTGTAAGGGAACAAAGGCCTTGGCTGATAAGCAGGGCACGTTATTAATCCCAAATGTTAATTCTGGGAATCTCGTTGCTTGGCAGCAGCACTTTTAAGCAGATCCCTGGCATTTTCTTCAAAAACATCTGAGTTACAGAGGATCATTACTAGCTGTAGAGGCCCTAGTTTGTACAGGAATGCTGACAACTGCTCCGTGAGAGCTGGGCATGCCCACCCATGAGCCAAACGAGGCTCGGACCCTGTGTGTGTCTCTCTGGAAGTATGTGCTGGGAGGAGGGGCCAGCCTCATGCTGCCAAACTGGTGACAGGCTCTGTGGCAGCAGCCAGGCCTCCCCCTGGACAATTCCTTAAGCCTTCACATCTAAGCCCTGAGCTCCTGAGTGACTGACTAGCTCGTTTTAAAAATAGAGCCAGAGTTTGGAGCATGTTACGTGGCACAGAACTGTAACTTGAAAAACAAACTTTATGACTTCTATTCTTACAAAATTAAAATAATCTAATGATGTTAACAGAATAGTATAAATTCACCCACATGAATTCAGACCATGAGCTTTTCCTTCCTGAAAGCTGCTATCCCTTCTCTGGCAGACTTTATAACATATGCCCTGGAGCAGCAGGGTTTGTAAGGAGAAAGGTCGGGAGGACAGGGCTGCCTGGCCAGGAAGGGGGCCAGTGGGCAAAAGGGGAGGGGCAGAGGAAAGGAGGGGAAGGAGGAGGCAGGTATTTGCAGGGTGCCTGGCAAAGTGAGAGTGCGGCGAGGCCTCCTAAGCCTTGGGAATTTCTGAAGGCCAATGGGATTACGTTAATGTTAAGAAAAGCAGTGAGAAAAAAGATAGAGATATTTTAACTTAAGGTAATGATATCTTATAAAGAGGAAGGGATTAAGTATGGAATAAGGGTGTAAGACAAAACCTAGGGAAAATAGGGGGAAGGTGGGCATCTCTGAGGCAATAATCCTGGGAAGATGGGAGCCTGGCAGGGCACAGGTGCAGGGGCCCCCTGGAAGCAGAGGAGCAGTATGTGGGCTCTCAGTGCAGAGAAGGCTCGGCAGTTAGGGGTGCTTTGTAGTTTGGTTCAAGGAGATGGCTTGTTCACACTATTGTGGGTATTGCTGTGAGAAGATGGTGAGTTCTGAATTCTCAGTAGATTTTTTGAATCACTGGTGGTTTCTTACTAAGTGGACTGGCTATTCCTTTAGGGCTGAACTTAGTTTTCAAAAGGGAACTTGTTCTGGAAGGTTAGCTGGCATAAATAATTTCTTCCACCCAACCAACCCAATGCTACCACAACTCCATCGAAGCACAGAGATCCAAGGGCTTGGGGAGACATTTCTAAAGAAAAGAAAAACCAGAATAGAATAAAGGGACAGGGGGAGAAAAATAGAAGAAATGGATATTGAATTTAGAAGAGGGAGAAGGGGACACTCAGGCATCAGAAAAGAATCAGCTTTGGTTCTGGCCAATAATAATTATACCATAATCTTAAATTAACAAAGCTCTCATCTCCAGGGATCCCAATTTTAAAAATCTAGGTAATGTACACAAATTCCCAACAAAACAGGCTTTGAGATTCATCGACCCACACATCAAAAGAGAAAGAAAGAAAAAAAAGAAAGACTAAAAGAAAGAAACCAAAGCAAACAAAATCAAGTTATTCAAGTGAAACCTCAAATTGCTTTGGTTAACCTAAATTGTAGTTGAGGTAAGTATTTTTCATTCTTTCAGTGAAGAGCCAAAGGCCAGGAGTGGGAGAAATGAAAAACTGGACAAGTCAGACTGCCCACACAAAAAGTGAGGAGTGACATGAAGCTCTCAACTCATAAGGCTTTCTGCCTAAGCTGGGGCCTCTGTGTGGCCTCACTAACAAATCTCTTTGATAAACACAACCTTTCTGGGGTGCCTGGGTGGCTCAGCTGGTTAAGCATCTGCCTTTAGCTCAGGTCAGGATCTCAGGGTCCTGGGATCGAGTCCCACACACATCTTGTACTCTCTTTCTCACTCACACTCTAATTAATTAATATATAAATATATGTGTGTGTGTGTGTGTGTGTATATATATATATACACACACACATATTTAAAAAAAAACCCACAACCATTCCTCAGAAGTTTTATCCAATGAAAGAGAAGTTGCTATGAAGATTTCATTTTCTAAGTGCTTTTCTTTATCTCTCCCCTACTTCAATATTTTTTGCCCATATCATTCTGACTGGAGAAATCTTAATTTCAGCTCATTATGATTAAATCTTAGACACCTATCACGACAACCAAAGGTGATTTTTACAAATAATTGTCATTTTTCTAAGGGAAATTTCACTTTTACTGGACTATGATGAGAAACAGGTATCCCATGAAGCAAAGTCAAATTCAATCACTGTAAGAGCTGTTGAAATTAAAGCAATTGTGAACCTTATGTCTTTAAAACAGAAAATGTTGAGAAACAGGAACTCCTGAGCATGTATCACCAGCATACTGTGCTCAGTATTTAATACCTTAGAACATCGGTACTGGATATGCATCAAACACCTCAACAACTTCTCTAACTTGCGGTCGCCATCTTACACTTGGCAAACAATGTCCACATTCTGGGTGCTTCAGCAATACCAGTAATAGTAAATAACTAGGGGCCTTGGAATGTGGCTGTGTTCCTGATACACCAGCGTCTTACCTCCCAACGCAGGACTCTTCCTACAAAGGATAAGTCCTATTGAGAGCAGAAGGTGGTAGGATTCCTCTCTAACCCTCTTCTCCCTAACCACATTATCCATAGAGATCAGCTGTCTGCTGGAACATCAGGTCTACCTAGAGGCAAGCAGAGAAAGAGTCCAGTCAGCAGCACTTAAGCGTCCCTGCCCGGATCTTGTTTCCAGCAGCAGCAAGGGCAGTAAGGGAAGTGCCTTCATGTTGATGGTCACCTTGGCCAATGGAGAAATCACACTGTCTGGACAGTCTGCTTATTAACAAATTTCACTGCTCTCAACATTTCTCTCTCATCTAGACAACTTGAAACTACCAATATAAGGTCATACTCTAAACACGTTAGTGATACACAAATGGTCTTCTGGCCAGAGAACAAAACAAACAACCCAAGTGGGGCTCCCAGAGGTAGAATCAGAAAATCAAAACAAAAGCCAACAAAAGGATTACAAATAACATAGAAGACTAGATTTCCTGAACCTCAAGCACTTGAAATTCATTTGGTAACTGCTGAAAACTTAAACTGAGAATACAAAACTTTTCAATAAATACTGGTTTTTGGCACCTACATTTTCAAAACATTGCATCCTAACTGATGAAAAATCTACAGAAAAATAGAAATCAACTACCGAGGATATCTTATAAGTCAACCTTACAAATACGTTCACTGAGACCTGTTATTTAATAACTCTCAAACCACTTTAAAATGGCAGTTATTATATAAGTATCTTTGTCTGTACTTTATAAAAAGTACTCTTAGCCAAATCAATTTTAACACCAAAGTTTGCCAAAAATCTGAGAAAGTGTTTGCTTGATATTTGGATGCTAGAAAAAAAATCAAATTAAAATGCAGAAAGCAAAAATAAAATGTAGTAAATATGAAACATCAAGCCAGTTTGAAGTTAAAGCAAAAGTCACACTTATGGACATGAAAGAAGTATTGTAGGGAAGTAGGCCAGTGGACGCATTTCCCATTGATGGAAAGAATAATGCTACTTACCAACCATTGCACTAACTTCCCCAGCCATGAGTGTTTCTACTGTCTCGTTGTATAGGTTCACATCAATGATACCTTTTCGAATAGTTTCTCCTACTTTGGCTCCCAATAACACTGAACCGGTAGTTTCAAATATTGAAGCCAAAATGCAGGCCTGCCTCAAGGTCACTACGCCAGAGCCCACAGCAGTACCGAATGAATTGGCAACATCATTTGCACCAACAGAAAACGCCAAGATAAAAGCTATGATAAAACCCAAAACGACCATCCACAAATACTCGTCCATGGCCATTTTGGAAAGTGGGCTCTGGGTACTTTTCTTTTGCAGAAATAGTTTAAATAAACAAAGCTTGAGGTGATAAACGTCGTAAGGCCGAGAGTTCTTGTAAACAGTGAGTTTGCTCTGGAAAGTGCTGGACAATGTTAGAGCCTGAACAAACTGCTAACTGCTGGTTTTCATACTGTCAGTACAGTTCATTTGGTTGTGTTCAGTCAGCGGGAAAACACATTCCATATTTTTCCTCCCAATCTGGGAAAGCTGTGATGTCTCCTCCTATAACAGAAAAGAAAACAAAAGAAATCAATTATCCTAAGCAACCTGTAACAGTTTGTTCTTTCAGAAATAAATGTTCTAAGCCTACTAATGGGATCTAACTTTGGCATGTGACAGATCTAACCATAAAGCAACTCTAGGAAGATTATAATTAGGTTAACTGCCCACCCACCCCCACCCCCACCAAAAAAAGCTGGTCTCTAGAATATCAGAAGTTGAAGTAGGCTTTATAATTACAGGCTGACAACAAGCCTTAATAGAATATGACTTTATGCAATCTGAAAAATACACTTGGCCATTATTTTCAGATAGAAAAAAAATGCTTCAAATGGGCAAAAGTAAAGAAATGAGAAATTCAGTTACAGACTTTTTTCAAATATGTGGAAGTTCCTTAATTTCTTGGACCGGTGATGACCAAATATGATTCTGTGACACCATAGAGTATGGCTAATGATCCACCTGCACATTTACAGATAAAGAATGTACACTTTAGGAGCACACCATGCAGGTGTCTGAAAGAAAGCTTATTGATTCTAGTATAAAGTGACTTATCCAGAGGGTGACAAAGGTGGAAACTGAAGGCCCACATAGGAGGAACACGGAAAGCTGCCACATTCTATTGAAACATAATTCGGATCATGTCACTCTTCCATGACTACCCATACCTCACTCAGAGGGAAGGCCAGAGGCTCACCAGGCTGGGAAGACCCTCCAAGGTCCCCTGAGGGCTACGTCCCAGCCCACTGTCCTCAGTTCTTATTCCTCCTTCCTTCACAGGCTCCTGCTATTCCTTGAAAACACCAAGAGCTCTCACCTCTGCGCCTTTGCACCTGCTGATCCTTATGCCAGAGAAAATCTCCCCGACAGCTGTGTAGCTACTCCTTATGCTATTTAGGTCTCTGCTCAAATGTCACCATCAGAGAGGCCTTCCCTGACCTCGTGAAAGAGCAGCCCCTTCTCCTATGCCATTATCCATCCTTCTCACGCTACTTTATGTCTGTTCTACTTGTCACTGCATTCATTCATTCATTCATTCATTCATTCATTCATTCCTGTCTGTCTCCTTTCAGGAGGGCACAGGGACTTTGTTGGATTCACTGCTGTATCTGTAGGATACAGAATAGTGCCTGGCATGTGGGAAGCCCTAATCAATTTGATGAATACACGAGAGGAAAAGCTATTAAACATGTAGAAAAGTCTGCCAAGCTAAAGAAGTGATGTCATAAAATTAATATATCCATGAAGTAAAAATGTCACTAGAAGCTTTGGAACTGTGGTTCTATTATTCTATTATTATATAGTCAAGGTACCAAATCTATATTTTCTTTGAATGGTATTAGGCATAGAGAATGGTGCCTACCACAGTGAGTTTCTTCATAGATGGTTAGTGATTTAAACTGGATAAATTAGGCTCATAAGCCATGTCAGAGACTATATAATGATCAATTGACATTAAGAATATTCAGGGGGAAAAACAGGACACCAAATTTTATGTACCTTGTGATTATGGTGATGTTAAATTACATATAAAAAGAGGGGCAAGTAATACACTAAGATCAGAACAATGGCTAAGTTTGAGTGGTAGTATTATAGATAATTTTTTCCTTTCTACCAAAAACTGTAAACTGGGTTACCTGCTTTTCAAATTAAAATAGTATATAATAAATCCATAAGCACATACTGAGAGCCATCTATACATGCAATGCTATAGGCATATAATGAAACAGTAAACATATGCTGATAGATTTTATGTGTTAAGATTTGAAGCCTAAATAATTATGGAGATTTAGATACTGAGACAAATGAAAAGACCATCCTAGAACCAAAGGAGAATATTCGACTAAAAAGAGTATTTTATTAACATCATGGACACATTAAAACTAGAAGTGAAAATACAAACTAGGAATATTTAGGATTTATATTATCTAATCCTAAAATAGACTTCTTGATGAAATCTTGTTTGTCAGGTGAGCCTGCCAACAGGACAAACAAGGACATTCAACGAGTATTTACCGAGAAGCTCCCTTGTGCCAGTCACTGGGAACAGGACCACAAGTGGAAATGGATGTGGGGCCTGCTGTCCCATAAGGACAACAGATGCTGATCACAGAAACTCACAAATGGATGAGACTCAGCTGTGGCAGGAGGTGTCAGGGCCAGGACAGGGCCAGGTGGGGCCGGGCAGGGCCACCTGTGGGATGGGGGTGACATCGGGGCAGTGTCCATGTGGGAAGGGGCGGCATGGGGTGGACAGACAGGTCCGTGAGCTGAGGTGGTCCCTGCTGCAGGTCGTGGCCACCCCGTGGACAGGCAGGTGCCCACAAGATCAGACCTCCACCCTGGGCAGGTAGACAGGTAGGTGCCCACATCATCAGACCTCCACCCTGGACAGGTCCCCCCACCATGGACAGGTGGGTGCCCACACGGTCAGACCTCCACCCTGGACAGGTTCCCCAGCCATGGACAGGAAGGTGCCCACATGATCATATCTTCACCCTGGACAAGTCCCCCAGTCACAGACAGGTGGGTGCCCACACGATCAGACCTCCACCCTGGACAAGTCCCCCAGCCACAGACAGGTGGATGCTCACACGATCAGACCTCCACCCTGGACAGGTCCCCCAGCCACGAACAGGTGGGTACCCACCTGATCAAACCTCCACCCTGGACAGGTCCCCCAGCCACCAGGTGCAGAATGGGCGGAACATGAGCAGAGTGCGCTGTGACAGAGGCCAGGCTGCCGCAGGGCTTGGGCATGACCCATGGAGGCCCCAGCGAGGCCTGGCCTGGCACCCATGGAGAAGAAAGGACACTTACAGAGGCGTCAGTGGCTCAAGTCCTGGGTGCGGGGACTGAAAGACACAGATGGTCACTGACTCGCAGAACTGGGCTGAAAAACAGCCGAGTAGGATTTTTATGTTTTCTCTTTTGCACTGTTTCTAGTTTTATTATTTATTTATTTATTTGGCAGGAAGAAATAGAGAGAGAGAGAGCACATGGCAGGCAGAGAGGGAGAAGCAGACCCACTGAGCAGGGAGCCCAATGCAAGGCTTGATCCTGGGACCTGGGATCATGACCTCAGCCGAAGGCAGACGCTTAACCGACTGAGCCACCCGTGTGCCCCTCTCATTTTGTTTTTATACGTTAGGGCAAGGTTTGCCCTTAGGTTCACTCTGGAACAGGCTGAGCACAGAGGTAAAGTACAGGAGCATCAAAGCAGGTATGTCCTCAGCCTGATGTGGCTTGGGGAAGCTTTTATTTTAATTAAAAAAAAATTTATGAGAGAGAGAACTATCTATCTGGAAGGAAGAAAAACGTTACATCCCTCCCTCAAGCCAAAATAAATTGAAGACAGAAATGTAAAAACTAAAACCTGAAGAAAATAAGAAAAGCAGAGGTGAATATATACTTAATATTGGGATGGGAGAGCCTGGACCTAATACTGAAGAATCATCAGCTCATTTGTGTTCATAGAAATCACGTAGCTGGGAGATGGAGAGGCCTGATGTGGGGAGACATCGCATGGCAATGCCCCCTCTTCTCCTCAGCAACGGCATTTAGAACTTCCAGCTAATGCCTTGGTTCTTTTCTCTCTCCTGTGAAGGCTTTTCTGAAAAGGGTCAGAATGTGAAGGAGGGTCAGAACAAGCTTCCTAACGCTCTCCTCCTTCCCCTAGTATGAAAGCCCCCATATGGCTGTGATTTACAGGACTGAACGTTCCAAAACATTGTCCAATTTTCAAATGCCACCGACCCCTTCGTTTGAGGAACAGAGTATCTTAGAATGTTTTGAATCATTGGAGGAGGTACTGAGGGGTTTCGAAAGTTCTACCTCCCAAACCTGTGATGTTAACAAGATCCTTACTCTCTTTTCTTGGTGCCCTCCATGTCTTCTGAGCAAGCTTCTCAACTCTGAGTCCCGCCCACCATCACTTCTGTCCCTTAACCTCTGAACCAGCCCTGCTTCCTTCACCAGGTCCAGTGAACAAACTGGCAGGACTCCCAAGTGTTTACAGATTCTCTCTCTAGAATTTCCTGTGAGCATCTGCTTCAGCTCTACCTCATACTCACTTATCTACACTAGAAATCTGTATGTGGAAAATACAGAAAGAAAAAGTGGAAACAAACATTCTCAGAATATTTCTAGATGAACTTTACACTGTTTAAAAATAGGAATGTGGCTGTGCTATAGCACTTAATAGACATCAATGGGAAAAAAAGCTTGGGTGGTAGGCTCCCTGTTCTGAAATGTAGCTAAAGGTAACATCCACGATGACCCCAGGCCTTCCCAAGCAAATGCACTGAGGGGATGCCTGTTCTAGCCCTCCATCTGCCCTCCTCTCTCATCAGCTCCTCAGCTGGCATGGCCCATACCAGACAGTCAGGTCTGTAGTGGACTGTGGCTTACTTATGACTCCCTCCCTGGAACCGTGTGGTTTTAAAAGCCTGGCCCACAGCCAGTCTCCCTTCCTTGTGTTTGCTTCTGGTCTATGCTGAGCTTTCCCCAGAGATTTCACAGGCTGCAGCCAGGCCAAGTTCTCCCTCCAACAGGTAAAGGGAAGGAGCCAGGTCCCCCATGCAGAGGACTCTGATACTCTCAAGTCATTTTCCAACACTTCCACTAAGACCCAAAGTGCCTCACACCCACCCTCTAAAAACATAAAGCATTCTTGGAAGCTGGGGTTGAATCTTGAATTTTGACACTTAGGTAGAAATTTGAAGACAGATAATCTTTTCAATGGTTGACAAAATCTAATGACTCTCTGCTACTTGTGGGTAAACTTGACTACTCAGCCATAAAAACGACTAGCTTTTCCTGATAATATTTAAATAAAATGGAAGATTCCTTTTTGAAATCTTACTTACAGAATAGAACAGCAGAAGCAGTTTTTCTTTTCAACACTCAGGATGTAGGTCTTGTCATATGGAGTTTCTTTTTTTCTTTTTCATATGGAGTTTCTATCAACACCATCATTTTTGAATAGCTCATGAAAACATCTA